TATTAAAATTCCTTCCTTGGTTTTACTCCTTGGTACTGAGGTCGATAACTGGCCTACTTATGCCATCTCCTGGGTAATTACAGAACTGTCTCTAGAATAAGGAAAGCCTCTATCAAGAAGCATTAGTAATTATCAGTGCCTTGAAATAATTTGCTAATTGAATCCCTGAAGTAATTTTCTTTCTTATTTTTTAGAATTTAGAACAATTCTGAATGAAAACAAATGCCAATGAAAACAAAACTGACTGAATTATTAATAACATATCATATTCAACTGTTATAAATAATCAGGAGATTGCACCAAAAAATCTTCATAACTGCAGTCCCAACAATATTGATATATTGAGTGAAGCAATATTTTATAAAAAAATACTTTTTTGTACTGATATTTTGCTAATGGGCGACCCATTTTCTCAAAGGMTGGAGTTTAATCTCTCAGGGATGATCAGAAAGAAGGAACAGATGTTGTGTTGCAAAGTATTTTACTGAGATGATTGCACTGTGGGATATCCATTTCAGATACAAGTAGTAGAAGAACCTACAAAGAGAAGATGATGTGTGAGTTTCTGGAAATTTTATATTTGCTATTCTATTTGTTTTTAATCACTCTTGCCAAGTGTCACATTGGGCAATTCCAGCTGTCTAGGGGACGGGGGAAAAGCTGAAGAGTCATCTGGAACCTCATTTTTCTTCATTTTCCATAGTATAGACTGGTTTTCCTGCAAGCTGGGTTTTACTGTGACATCCTCAGTGGGAGAGGTGGCACAGRCAGAGCAGAGAAAAGGGTGGGATTTATCCTTCAGGGTAAAAATATGTTTTGTGAATTTGAGTTTCGTTGAAGATGATCATGGCCTTTGAACTGAGTTGGGAAATTTTGCCACTACCACATGTGCTACGATGTCTGATCCCTGCTCACTCTCAGGAAACCTTGAGAAAAGCCTCCTCCTTGGTCTGTGGCTCTTTTWAAACACTAACCCAACACTCTGCTACTAAGTGTTTAATTATTAGGATTGTGAAATACAACAACACCTAAGGTATTAATAGAAATAACTAATTATAACCCTCTCAGCATGTGGTTTCCCCTTCACTTATAAAATCYCTTGTCATTTATCTGTCCTTTAAATGACTCCCTGTAATACCTTAATCAGGACAAATGCATCCTTCAGAGGGAAGAAAATGACCCCAAACTGGYACAGAAAGATTTGATTAAAACTCARACTCCTTCTGTGGCAGCCCAAAGATCCCAGGGGAYCCCATGGCTCAGCAGAGGAGAGGAAATAGCAGACAGGGGAAGGTTTTCTGTCTGAAACAAAAAGACTTTATCGCTGTGGTGCTGACATCCCCTCTCCGTAGCACCAGCCTGTGATCAGCGTCTCTCGTTTCCTTTAAAACTCCGTGTCAGAACTTTGGTTCCAGCGTGATTAATTTCCCCTTTACTGATTGTGTGTCATTCGCTTTCAAGTAAGGTCTTTATAAACGAGGCAAAACAAAGCCAGAGATGAAGATTGTGCGGAGATAAACATTTGTGCTGTGGGACTCCCGCTGGCTCGGGCCCAGCGGGGGCCAGGACGAACAGGGGATTCACGGAGCCGTGATTAAAGCTCTGGCTGTGAACAGGTAATTGAAACACTCCAGCCCATCACAGCGAGCCATGGAGGCATTTAGCTTAAARCAAGCCCTGAGCAAGGCAGAGTGTTGGCTGTGTTGTTAGGAATGAGCAAAGCTGGGCTGAGGCGGCGGGTGAGGGCCAATCCTGTGGGCGCTGCGCCGGTTCTGTGCCGGCCTTGGGGACACCGGGCACAAACAGAGGAACCTSGKCAACAAACGTGGCATTTGCCCACAYTGAAAATCACAAATGACAGCCCAGGTTTGCTGTGAGGCACGGGCAAGGATGGTTTGTGTCCGGCAGACACAGAGGATGAGCTCCACAGGAGCCTCTGGAAGTTCCTGCGGTGACGGAGTGTGATGGTTCTCCCTCACACCCACTGCAGCAGCAGCAGCTTTGAGATCTGTTTGGGGCACCATCATCATCATGTTCAGCACAAAATGTGACACAAAGTGGTGCCTCCAGCTCTTCCCTCTTGGTTTGTCCCCTGGTGTTGGTTAAGAGCCATTCACTGAGCAGCTTCCTCCAATAATATCTTTAAAAGGGTGATTGATGCAAATGTGTGATGCAGGGGAGAAATTTGCTTTCTGATTTGTGCCTAATTTCACTTCTTAGTAATCATTGTTCCTCGTGCAGGCCACTAAATAAACATTTTTGATTGTAGTAATTTGGTAGTGAAGGCATTCCTCATCACCTTGGGCCTCCCTTCTGCCAAACTCCTCTAAAAACTTGCTGGTGTCTCAAGCAGAAGTTTCCAGTTTTTAAAACAATTAATAATCCAATGTAGGTTTCCTTCACTCCCCTTTGAGGAGAAATGTCAGCTCAAACCTAATGCACAGATGGAGAAAGAAGGAATTGTCATACGGAGCTGACACACATACCTACAGCCCAGACTTGTCGCTGGGGTTTTGCTGCGCTCCCCGTCGATGTATTGACAGATTTCTTGTCCCTGTGCTGGCAGCAGGATCTGTAACAGCTTTCAGCAGAGTGAGTGGTTATTTGGGTGTTTGTGGCATGTTTTGTCGTTCCTACGAAAAGGATTCAGTGATCATTAACGGGAGTTCAAGTGTCAAATCACCAAATTAGTGACGGCAAATGCTTAGTGTGAAAAATAGAGGAATTTTTTTTTGGGCAGGTAGTGCATAAATGACAGGGCTTGGTGGGAATTATGAATATAATGATAATTCCATTATTACAGTGACAMAGGGGGATTTTGAAAACTTAGATCCATTCTGCAAGTCTTGTTTTTGATCACAGAAGCTGACTTAGATTTCTGTGCATTTGTCCCTTTTTCTGTAAAATGAAGGTTTTAATTATTTGCTGCTTCTATCACCGTTTGCTCCAGGACTGTACATCCCAGAGATTGTGTACTGGTTTGACCACAGCAGAGCACACATCCCTCAGCCTGCTCAAAAGGAGGGGGTAAAGACTGCTGCAAAGGTCAATATTGCTGGTGAAAGGCAAGATCCACTTGCAGTACAGTGATAAGTGCCACTCCTTAGTTTGCCACAGGTCTCTGTGTGACTGTGGTCAACCAAGCAGCTCTTTCAGCCTTAATTTCTGCTCTTTAAAGTGTAAACATTGCATCTTTACCTCACAGTGGTGCTGGGAAGATGAATTAGCTTAAGTGTRCAAGTCTTCTAAATCCTCAAAGACRCAGAAATACTGAATGTTACCACCTRTRTGGSGGCAGGGTATGCAATGGTGAGAACCTCCAGGGAACGTTCTCATTTCCCAACAGACAGGTTTTTGTTAAAACAGTTCTTTTTGTCCCATGCAAGACAGAGAGAACTTTTCCAACATTAGCAGTCGTGGGTCTGATCACATCTCGTGTTTGGGTGACTGCAGGCACAGTGTGCTCCAAACCCAACACAAGTTTAAATGATCCATAAACACACTGAGCACCTTCAKCATTATTTTCAGCCTTGCATGATTTTCAGAAGAAACAGCAAAACACAGCATAACTCCAATCTTAGCAATGTGGTYATCATCTGCAATAAAAATGTCACCTCGGTTATTAGCAGAGCTGCTAAATCACTGGCCTGACTTGAAGAGTTCCATCTGGAGTTAGAAGTTAAGGACAGTTTATCAGAGCAGTGATTTATTGTGTAAACAGATCTTGCTGCTGGCATTTAGGCAAACGTCGCTGCCTGCCACTCAGCCAAATTCTGTTATCACACTTGACTGAAGTTTCCAGCCTTGAATTATTAGTTAATAATATCCGAGCGAAAGCATAATTTATTGTTCAAGTAAACTTTGAAACACAAAAACAGTGTCTTAGCYACCAGACTTAGTGCTTGCCTTAGGCAAAGCATTTTTCTTTCAGCACAGCATTGTAATAGAACACAAGTAGGATTTGTGASTAATTCCACCACTTTCTGCATGTATAACTCACCTAATGGCAGAATACAATCTCCTGAGCTATCCTTCCCTCATTTCTGTGCTGTAAGAGTGACAGCCTTCAGGCCATAACTGARCACAGGTCAATCACACACAGTCAGACATGTCCAAAACTCAAAATTAGAAAGTATCACACCCGTGCTTTCCTAATAGAGAAATTTTATACCRTCCCTTTTTTATCATTTCATGTTTTATCAACGGTGCTCAAGGAAACCCATGAATTTCCTCCTCACTTGGGGCTGATTGAGAGCACTGAAAGGAATAACCTTRTTTGATCACAGTTTCTTAGCATTTTGGGTACTATTTACAGCAGTGCCGTGATACCARCAGCCAGCAGATGCCAGCACAGCACACGAGCATCAAAAGTGCCTCTTTCGTGCTCAAGGAAGGAGGGTGCAGAGCCATCCCAAGTGTGTGGACTCAGAGGAGAAGTGAACTTCCTCTTTGATGTTTCAGTGTCATCCTTCATAAAGGATATAAAAGATCTGATCAAGTCAGATCTACATGGCACTATACTAAATTTAATCTTGGATTTAAAGAGACCGATTACTGGAGGAGGATGGTATCACTGGTCTAGAAAATAATTGCCCTTTCTCTTAAAAGATGATTTATTTCCACATGGAACTCTGCCTGGAATTTCAGGCCTAGCAGATCTGGGTTTTTTTTTTTTTTTTTTTTTCCTTTGCATACTGAATTGAGATCCTTAATATCAGGCCTTTTTTTGTGTGTAAATGTGCATAAATCTGCCCAAATCCCTGCATCATCTCCGCACAGTAGAGTGGCCCCTCCAGACACATCAGGTTCTTGGCTGCCCACACGCAAATGGTGCAGACAGGAAGAATGAAAGGCCATTCATTCTTCTTGTGGTGCAAACACTCCAATGCTTTCAAACACAGATGGWTCCTTTTTTTGTGAAATTGTCAGTGCTTCTGCCAGAAGCCTTTGCAACACCATAAAACAGTCACAGCCTTYTGACATCAGCTGAGCGATGGAGATCACTTCTGACAGATTTCTTCCAGAGCAGAAAACGWTGGTCCCAGAGTGTTCAAAAAATCAACAGGCAAGTCTTCACTGCCAATGGAGATGGAGCAGGGRGAGYTGCTGGGCTCTGGTTCTCCTTCCTCTGTGTATCTGCAAGGTTCACAGACATCCCCCACGTCTTCCAGCGTGCTTTGGTAATACACTTGCTAAAGGGAAAAACCAAGGCAAGTCAGCACAAAAGTTCCTACTGCCCTTTTGAAAATTAAAGGAAATCAGGGCATACAAATCAAGCAGGAATTTACAGGGAAGAATATGAATCTTTATCTCACAAAGAAAATTTCTACAGAAACTCTCAGCTGCATAAGCTCCAGAGCCTGAGCTTCTCTCAGGGTACAAATGAGGCAAAAAAGGGCATTTGATCTGTCCTGGCCCAGGGAGATGGCGAGTGGCCCTGGCTGGTAGGGCCTGCAGTCTGGCCAAGGAGGCCAGAGGACAGGTCTATAAACATGCAGGGGTCACACAGGGCATGGCAACAGGAATTGGAATTTCCCTGACAGTACAGAAGTGCAAGGGCAGGTGAAAAAACCTTAACACTGCTCAGCCAAGAAAGCGTTTTAGCCCCACTTCCCCAGCGTGAAGGACAATTCAGTCTAGGAAAGAAGGTATTTTCTAGAGGTCTTGAATTTTTTCCCCAACTGCAGTGTTTCTGAGATGTGGGCTGAGAGCAGCTGCAGCCACAGCAGCTGTCTGGTTTTACAGGCCCTTTCTCCTGTGCTCACAACCCCACTGACACAGGAGGAGTTCAGTGCTCATTTCTCACCTGAGCCAGTGTTTTGTCCACRGTCTGGATGAAGCAATCCAGGTGCCATGCGTGGGATGTCCTGTCACCAGTGAAATGGCCATGCTGGAATACAGACACAATATCTCGAGTTTGACCAGCATAAAGTCACCTTCTGAAATTTCTTTCACTTACAAATAACTCCAGTTATTTTCTTGCTCTCTGTTACATCCATTTTATTTGTGCCACCTTCTCCAGCTACTCCAATGAGTGACCGTTTTTCTCTAATTGAACAATATTGCATTATTCTTCCTATTGTTGTTGATACCACACCTCATTCTTGGGACAGCACTTTTCCTGGTATAAAAAAAGACATTTTCATCAGGAACCAGGTAGTTACCTCAGCAATCATTTCACTTCCAGCCTTCACAGACACAGGTGTTGGAGCAGCAGCATGTGCAATATCCAGGCCAGCCTGCACACAGAGAGAGGGATGGTGTTAATAAGGAACTGAACTACGTGTGAAGGATCAAACAGATCTGCAGACAATTCCATTTTCCACTTCCTTGTTGCCCACACTACCATGTGTGTGCAGCAGAGTGACAAGAGATGCTSTGCTTCCTCACCTGTTGGATTCACCAGCAGGATGAGGCACCTGRGAAAGTCCTGCTGGGACTGACAAAGGGCAGGAGGGGTGACAGTCTGTCACCAGAGGGGCATTATCCATGCAGAGCACAGCTCCCCAAATAGCCTTAGTGGCAAAAAAAAGCTTTATTTTTCTCAATACCAGAATGAGAGGAAACATAATTTCAGAGATGATTGGTAGCACAATCAGCCACACAACACTGGTGGGGTAGTGTGGATAAATGCGGTCACACTCACCTCACTAAAAGAACTTCTCTCTTCATTGTAGTTGATTAAAGTCTGTTCACCTTCCTGAGGTGGAACAATGGCTTTGTTTTTAACCCCTGACCGGTAACACTGGCAAAACACAATGCTGGAAACTGTAAAGGAGAAAGGCAAAGGTGARATGGGCACTGGGAATAGATGGGTTTGGCTCAGCACAGTGGTGGGAGAAACTCCCAGCCCAGTTCCCAAGGAGCTCACTTAGGAAACCCCAGCAATGCAGATKTGCAGGTGAAATTCTTGGTTGGAGTAGTGAGCCTGAACAGGCAGACAGAATTGATCATGCACAGTAAACCCAGTGCTCAGATCATCTATTCATTTTTTTTTGAGATAAAGAATCAACAGGTCTTCTCTCCAGCATTAACCAACATAAGCTGGCACAGAGGAACCAGCTCTAGAACAAGGGTAACCCTATGGAAGAATTGCATTAATTTTGRTTTGCCAGGACAGAATAAATGTCAAAAAAGTCAAGTATTCCATTTTATATTTTCCATGTTGTACTGGAGTTTAGCATAATGACACTTTACATTTGCCAATCATCATCTAGATGCAAAATAATCATTTTAGTAGATTTGAGATCACAAGCTGCAATTGCAATGAGRCCCAGTGGCAGATGACAGATAATCTGCATGTCTCAGGAGGCTGCTTACCCAGTAACAATAACAAAGCCATCAGCATTACTGCAATGGCTCCACTTCCAAGTCCTGCTGATTGTAGAAGTGGTGAATATTCACATGTGAGTCCATCTGGGCAAAAGCAGAGTCTGATGTGCTGGTTCTGCCTTGTGGAGAATCCTTGCATGTCCTGAATAATGATGGGCACCAAGTAGCTGCCCTGRGGGAGGCTTCTTAACATCAGGAGTTCAACTGACTGCCCTGAAAAGGCAAGTGAATCATTTCAAGACTCACAGAAAGAAGGCTAATATTCTACAGTTCTTTGTGTTGATAACCAAAGGAAACTCATTTGCGCCCCTGTTTCAAGGACTTTTTCCAGCCTTCTTGCACTACAGTAAATAGGACTAAATCACATCCCACTTTATCACCTCACTGAGCCTTCTGGGCAGAGATCTGTCCCAGCCTGGCTGCACTCTGGCACAGGCCCCTGATTGAACCTCTGGAACTCATCAGGTAGTTAATCAAATGAAGAAGTGGTTTCTCAGCTGTTTTATCCCCCTTTCTGCAGCTTGAGCACATTGCTGCTGGTCCTGTCCTCAGCAGAGAGGAAGAGCAATCTCACATTTTACAAATTTACCACTGAAAGCTGTTCTTTCCCGTCACTTCAGTCTCACCAAGACTCATCAGTAACAAACCATAAAGGTATGAGAGAGTGAAATAACCAGAGGGCCCACAAGTGACAATAAACAGAAGGAAGAACTCACCGAAGTTCCGTCCTAATGCCCAGTTATGCTTCACATCTTCAGAGTCCTCAGCCAGCTCAAATGWAAATGGCCCCGAATGTGAATGGGCCACAGCAGACTTGGCTTCAATAATAAGAGGTGTCCCTTCTTTTTTGTCACACACATCCAAAGAAGGAGCCACCAACGATGGCATTTGATCATTAATGTCAGACAAATAAAGCAGGATGGTGCCAGTCCCAGTCTGTGGTGGCATGCCTGGATAGGATGAAAAGAAACAGGAAAACACTCACAAGTGGGCATTGACAAATGCCAGTCTTTTGGCAGGGTCTGCCTGGTTTATCCTACAGTCACACATGGCACAAGTTATAAACATCAGGGTGGTTTATGATCCCGGGTCTTGCTGTCTTTTTATGTTCAGCATGCCCCTCATCTCACTGTCAAATACTGCTGGAATATTCTCTGGCTGCTCACCGTGATCAGTAGCATGAACAATAATGGTGTACAGGCTGTTGTTCAAAAAAGGGGATTCTTGATCAAATTCTTTTGCCACAGTAAGAACTCCAGAGTTCTCATCCACACTCAGCCAAGCATCTGGGTCRTGGGCTAGTCCATACCTGAATGAGACAAGGAAAAATTACAAGTTATGATTTTAAATGGATTTTGGATACCAAATTAGACTTGCAAACCTCTTTACATTCCTAAACTATTTCTTATTCTCAGTTGGAACATCTCCACTTACTTTATCTTATTTGGCACATCATCTGGATATGTGGCAGGATAGTTTCTAAATATCCTCCCAGGCTTCATTGAATCTTCCTTTTGGACAGTAAGTATAGGAGGATGAAACTTAGGAACACGTTGTAACTGTAAGACCTTGATKTTCACAGTTGTGTTTGTGGATTCCAGATTAGAGGTCATCACAATGCTGTTTTTACACCAGAAGAAAGGTTCTTCATTTGCTACAGAAATGACAAGTCTCATCTCTGAGTCACCTTCATGGCTGAGAGGCTGAAAACCGCAAACGAAAGCAGTTTAATTAGCAATGAGGCCCTTTTAGCAGTTTATTACCAGTCAATTAGCAGTTATGACCTTTGTTTTGGCAGTCACCTCTGTTACCTGGAGCACAGGTTAGCTGAGCTTGCCTGACTCAGCTGACTCTGACTCTCACAATCACATGGACACATTGTCATGCTCAGCTTATCCATTGCTGTTATCTCCTCACCTTGATAACACTCAAAATGCCTTCATTCGTGGCTGGATCTGTCTCAATGGTGAACTGCTCCTTCTCATTGCCCTTTGCTATTCTGTATTTTGCTCTCCAGGCTGGAGTGTTGGGAGAGTCTTTATCCTCCACCTGCAGCCGTAACACAGCTGGATGTTCTTCTCCTGCTGAAATCTGAAGCTGGTACTGGGAGGCAAAAGGAAGAAAATAAGGACAATTATCTATCTATCTATCTATCTATCTATCTATCTATCTATCTATCTATCTATCTATCTATCTATCTATCTGTCTACCTATCTATCTATCTATTTTATGTAATCTCTTCACAATGGCTAAGTTTTTCATGATGCAGTGGGGCTACCAGCAGGCCTAAATAGCACTCCATGGACAGGCTGAGAAATGCCAATTAAATCCCCCAAGGAGTGATGAGATCGCAATAATCTGTAATTTGTTTGCCTTTATTTCTTAAAATAAAATTGGTCACTGGTTGAGAGCTGAAAAGTCAGGCTCTTGCCATCTGATATATAAACAACACTTCTTGCATCACARTTTTAAAAATGCAATCAGGATGATAGAGAGGGAACAAATTTGTGAGAGGAGTCAGAATTTTACCCCATAGAAGTTGATGACAAAGCACAGGTTTCTTGTGTAAAACTATTTTAGCAGGTGATCTAACATTATTCCTTCAGGTCTTCCAAACAGCAGGTAGGAGTTGTACCACGCTGGTGAAGGTGTTTGCTATTGTAGGTCATTCATACACACTGTTGTAACCCTGTTGTAACCCTTCCTGCCCCTCACAACACCAAATATTTACACAGAGCAGTGCCTGACGTGACTCAGCGCTCTGCATGCACGTGCTGGGTTGGGCTGGGATAGTTGATTTAGGGTGGATAATGGATTGTAAAATAAAGAGCAGACTGTAATCMTAGACTGATCTGGGTTGGAGGGGACCCTAAAGGTGACCTCGTTCCATGGCAGGGACACCTTCACTAGACCAAGGTGGTTCAAAGCCCCACCCAACCTGGTCTTGAACACTTCCAGGGGTGGAGCATCCACCATTCTCTGGGCAAGCAGCACCTCTGCTTCCCGGATATTGGAATAAACTGGTCTGTCAACTTCCTGATGCTGCCAGCGACACAAAAACCTTCTGGTGCAGTACACCAAAAGTTTAGCACTGTAAGATATATTTCATTAGACAGATAAATCTCATTTGCACAAGTTTTGGCCTGATTCTGCAGTGTCTGGGGGTTTCTGTTTCCACAAAAGAGTGCATTTAGCAGCTGGAAGGACTGAACAGTGTTTAGAAAGGCTCGGTGAAGCAAYCCTGCTCTCCCTTACATTGTCACCAGTAAATACAGGCAGGTGGTTGTTCGCATCTTCAACTGCAACATTCACTGTGGCCGTGGATGACAGCTGGGGGCTTCCATGGTCACTGGCTTCAATCAGAAGTTTGAAAGAGTTGGCAGTCTGAAAAACAGAAACAAGGAACTTCCTGAAACTTAGTTCAGAAGCAATTCCCACATTTTTCCAGTCCCAGCTATGAAGCTGGCTGTGAGACTCTCCTTCCCCTTGTACCTGGTAACTGTGCAGCGAACTTGTATTAAATGTATCATTCATTAAATGATGAGAAACTGCCAATCATACATCACCTTATAATCCAGGCATCCTGACAGRAATATGGATCCTGTGGCAGGATCAATATTAAATGTGAGTCCATCTGGAGAGGGCGCTTGCATACGTATGGAATAGGACACCTGTGAATTTTCAGTGCCGACTTCATCTTTATCCAAAGCTGTGACCTGGACAATTGGCTCATCTAGGATGAAGAATTGAGATATTAATGGAAGTGTTTAGTGTCAATGTGGAGCTCTGAAACACACAAGCCCTAAGAAAACCTRCAACTTCTCCCATGGCCATGGTTATCCCTGCTAGGACTCTGGCCACTGCTTCAGTTAGAGAACAGAATTGCCACACTGCTGAATTTACTTCAGCAAAAACATTTCAGAATTTTCATGTCAGCTCCTGAGGAGCTGACACCACATGTGTACACCCCCAAACTATTCTGGGCAGTCTGACCACCTCCTGTGAAGCTGGGTGCTTGTGCAGCTGAGATCGGCCTGTTACAGTCTTGGCTTGTGGTTAAGAAGAAATACCTTGGAAGTTTTTCCAGAATATCTCCAGTGATATTCTAATGTACATTGAGGTTAATCAGACAAGAGAAATCTTACCTAAACTCATGACTGTTTAAGTAAAAGGTAGAGAGAGGAACAGATTTAATAGGAAAGGGATAATAACAACAAAGGAATTAGGAAGAGAAYAGTCGTACCAAAACCATCATTAACCCTTGTTTGGGTGGCACTTACCTTCTCTGTGGTTCTCTCTTATTGTAGTGCCATATTCCTCCTTGGAAAACTCAGGTGCATTGTCATTAATATCTTTGACCTTTATCTTGAAAAATATGGGGCGGTCCAACAGCTCACCAGATTTTCTGTTCTCAATATCAAAACGTATCTAAACGAGTGGCAACACAGACRTCAGAATGGACTGAACAGCACCATTTAGATGTCAGAATAGATAAAAAAACTTTCAAATTTGAAGCTGCTTCAGTCAGATTTGCTTAGCACTGGCTTTCAATCACATGGTTAAATCATTTTTTCACCTTTCAAAGGTAACAGATTCATAATGGACATCCTGGGCCTCAAACACTTTTAAAAGTAAGAAAAGGTTTTTACTGGAGATGGATTATTTGAAAAGGCTGCCTAAACCGCAAAATATGGCACAGAAAACCACAGGGAAATCTATAATTTAGGTGCAGTTAATCCACAGAGACACAAAATACAAATCATCACAGAATAAACATAARGAAACCACAATTGAAAAAATGTTTTTCAGGAGGAAAACAAACCCACACTCCCATATTTSATTCAGAAACTTGTTATCACATTTCTTTCATTACACTTCCTGCTGGTGAACACTTTTTTGCTTTTTAAGGAGAAACATATGCTGCCTCTTATGTAAAGTTACAGTAATACAGCTTTGCAGCTCCTCCAAGATTACCCAGTTTTTTGTAACACATGACTATCTGCTTGCATTCTCCTGATTAGGAGGTTGTGTTTACAACTCAATGCTCTGGCCACTAGAGCTGTAACATATTTTGAATTTCAGGACAGCCTTTAAAGTTTWTATGATCAGGGATCACATCAGGAAGCAGACTGAAAAGAAGGGTGCAGGTATTTGTAGAAGTTCAAACAAGCCATGGAGATTTATGATGTGGAAGTTAATGGGTCTCTGCTGAGACAGTCATTGAGCATTTATTTATTGGGGCAAGATAAGAAGATCAAGTCATGAAAACACACACTGAACATTATTATAGGTGTGTCTGATTCCTGTGAAGCATTTAGCCATGAGAGAACAATGAACCTGGAAGAGTCCTGTGCACGTGTGTTACCTGAAAAGCCGGGGTCCTTTCCCTGTCGATGGTGCGATGCACGTACACGACCCCRTTGGCATCATCCTCCATGGAAAACAGCCCAACCTCTGGAGACTCATCTACCCCAGGTCCACTGATTAAATACTTTATTGATGCATTATACGCTCTGTTATTGGACAGCTTTYGAGGAGAGAAGTAGGACAGTGAAATGTGAGCAGGGAAGATGGAACAGAAATAAAAATATTTTAGATCAATTCTTTCTCTTTTAGATCAATTCTCTTGGTCTCAGCCAACCCCACAGCTCCCTAGGCTGCAGCACCACTGCACAGTGTGCAGGGTGACCCTCTTACCATCCCCACTCCATAATCATCTTTCCCCTGAACGTCCTTGAAACTTCCCACAGGAAGGAGCAGTAAATCCCTCCCACCTCACAGTTCTACCCATCTCTGTGTAAATAAGACARGTTTGGACAAGTAAGTTMTTTTAAGYTGCTGTTTAATGCACACTTCTTGCYCTCTGCTCCCTGTGGTATTTTATTGCACAATTTGAGGTGATCAATGCCTCACCGAGCTTTTAGCAGAACTTTTCCTACCAGGTGTTTTGTACCTGTCCAGCATATTTGGGGAATGGTCCTTTGTCCTCCTCTTGAACATCAATGGTGGTGATAACCCAGGTCCTTTTTGTTCGTTTCAGAGGTTGCAGACTGTCTGACTGATGAGAATCCACCCACTATTGGAGAAAGAAGTGGGTTTAGTGTCACAGTTTAGTGTCACAGTTTGCACATTAGCTCTTGTGTAGCTGTTATTATTCAATATTGACTACAAACCTGAACACTCTTCCTTCTGATGGCTTGTCTTAAACTRAAATTTTCAATTTCATGAGAAAAACTGTCAGCAGCAGTAACCTTGTGAAAAAAGAGAAGTGATTGTGACAAGTGTGGGTCACTAGAAAACCTTGATGTGTTGTCAGGGAGGAATTCGCCTTCACAGAAWCATATTGATCCAGTTTTGACAGTGTTGTATTGAGTTGTACCTAACCCTTAACTCCACAAACATCATCACAAATATCACCTGTCTCATTCCAAATGAATGCCATGARAGCTGGGATACCAATTCCTCTGGTCAGGGGATGCCAGACCCCATCAAAATGCTTTGTCCATGCAGATAACAGTCCATGGTATCATGTCTGTGGCTTTTCCCAAATCAAGTACCTCCAGTTTTTAAAATATTCACCCCTGTCTCTCTATGTCCAGTGCTCTTTTAGAAAGTGTCCAGTACTGACAGCACATAAACTGACTTTTGCAAAAAATAATTAAGTCTGGGGAGKGTTTCAGAGTCTCAGGGACTCTGTGGCGTGAGTTGAAGTGTTCCAAACACAGCTGATTTACCAGAAGGTGATCACTGGACCAAAATCTCTGACTGAGATGAATAAAATAAATCACTGAGGATGGTGACTACACCCAAATTGACACAATTTGCCTTCTTATAAACACAAGCTTCCTTCCCTGCTTCAAACACTTTTTACTGGAAATCTTTAACCTCACAGGATTATGGCAGTGTTCAAATTACACCACTGCCATTAGTGGTGTACTCTTACASGTAACTTGGACACCTTTCTCCTATTTCTCAATGTTTTCCTTGGAAATCTTGGGGTTCATGATCATTCAATCAAATATTTCCAAAAGTCCCAGAAATGTCTTCCTTCCCAGACTTGGGCAAAGGTGAGCCTTTACMCTGTGACCATTTTCTGAAGAAACAAAACACTTGTAAAATCATCACGGTTGTAAACCTGCTGAGCAATGGATGGGGTTCCAGTAATGCCTTGGAGCTGTATACCTGTTTATACCCAGGGGAAAGCTCTGTGACATAAAATCAGCAAGCAAGGCTCCAACTYGTTACTTAAAAGTTTTCTTTGCTGGATTTGCTCCAGTTTCAGCCCTGCTGGAAGCCCCAAACAAGCTGTTTTCCCCTTTTTTATGTGTAGTCACTTTTAATMATTTTGGGAGCTTTAACTGGGTATTTTCTGGCTTCCCCACTCCTTCTGTTCACCCACACAGCAATGCTCAGGGTAGCACTGTCTCCATTCCAGCCAAACGCACTGCCAGAAACGGACCCGGTACAGGACCATGAATCCCACAGAAACACCCATGGAAACGCCTCTGAGTTGCTGGGGGATGATGATTAACGTGGCAGAGTCAGCACCATGTTCAGGCAGGGGTGAGCACCCCGGTATTCCCAGCAGGAGGAGCAGAGGGTCCCCAGCCCCTTCCCAGAGTCCTGAGCCCCAGAGCTGGGACGGAGGAACCCCCTGTTGTGGGGGCACCGTGTGGGGACAAGCAGAATCCCAAAAGGGTGAAGGTGGGAAGGGACCACCAGAGATCATCTGCTCCAGCAGCTCCCCCCAAGCACATTACCCAGGATTGTGTCCCGATGGATTCTGAATATCTCCAGGGATAAATCACCTCTCCTGTTCCAGTGCCCAGCCACCCCCACAGTGAAGTTTTCCTCAGGTGGAATGCTGTGTGCCATCTCCTGCCCATTGCCTCTCATCCGCCTGCTCAGCACCCTGAGGAGATCCTGGCTCCATCCTCCATCCCTGTACAGCCAACCCCCTCCCCATTCCCAGCCCAGACCCACCTGCAGGAGCAGCAGGATGAGGAGCAGCTCCACGGGGCGCAGCAGGACCATGGGAGCCCTGGGAAGATCCTGCCGTGGGAGGTTGGAGCATCCAGGGGYGGCAGAGCCGGGTCTGTGGAACGGTGTGTGATGGCTCCCTGCAGCCCAGGGCTTTGCCACCAGCATTTCCACCTGGCTCCAGCCCTGTGAACAGCTCCAGAGGATCGCAGGTATTTCCTCCTCGTCAAAGTGGAAAACTGGAGTGGTTTTTCTGCCCTGAACTGACTCCAAGCCAAGCTCAGTCCTCCTGTGGTGTTRGTTTGCCTGTCGGTCTGCACCTGCCACTTCCACACACAATAAATGGGCCATGGCTGCATTTTATGGCCACTTTACAACCAAGAGTAAACACTTGTCTTGATTCAACAGTTCCTTGGAAATGCCATTTCAAGGTTCCAGATAACTTCCCTGTTGTTGGCTAATAACAAACACACAACTTTAGTTTCAGTAGCAGCTGKGTTTATCTGCCATGCCAAGGAGTGCTGCTTCTCTATGATTGTAAACTTTGAAATGAGAGCAAGTTCTGGCAAAGCTTATTTGAAAGATGATACAACAACCCTGGAGTTTCTGTTCCTCCCAAAAGCCATCCCCCAAAAGCAAGGATGGACTTGTATATCTGGAGATGAACTGCCCACCCAGGGTGGGAAAAATACATTTTACATAAAACTACATAAAGAAGCAGGAAACTAAAACTTAAGAAACAGAGAGCTGCAGAGAGCAGGGGGAGAGTTCTGGGTTCTTTGAAAACACCTCTTACAGAATTTTCCATTTTGCTTTTACTGGGCAAAAGGTTTGTTCTCTTTCAGAACTAGAAAAGAATTAATTGAGTGTTCTGAAAGTTGTGAAAGGAAGAATTGTGGCAGAACTGATCTGTTCAGGTGTCAAATAGTGTGTTGGGAAGGCAGATGGGATTTTCTGAGACGCACAAATAACAGCAACACGTTAAATACCAGTGCAGGAATGCTTGGACATCAGGAAAACCTCAAAAAGCAAGAATGTTCTCACTGTAAAACTCTTGCGTGGTATCTCAAATAGGAGCTTTGTGAATCTTACTATAAAGATTACAGAAATAACAAAACAAAGGACTTTTTCAGCAATAAAAAATTGTGGGGTTTCCCCTTTCRCTCTCCCTCCCTTTATTTTCCTCTGGATTAGCCTCGGTTGAACGCATAAACTGAGTGAAATTAAGTTACACCCATTCCATATTTTGAACAAAAAACATTCCGGGCTTTCCTCATTCCGTACTCTCGGAAAAATTGAGTCCGGGTTTTCCTCCATTCCTGCAAAAAAAAAAAAAAAACAGCCCGGGTTTTGCCATCCCCCGGATCCCGGATGGCATTGACAGCAGGCGGAGAAAAAATCTGAATTTTTAAAAATCTGTATTTTAATGGCTTCCCTTGGGCAGCAGGAGCCGGGATGTGCTGAGCTCCATCCTCCRCCCCACACCGCAATACTGGAATTTTTTCCACGAAAATTCAGCGATGCCATCTTGAGAAAAACTACAACACAGAACAAGCAGGGCAGTATGTCACTTTTAATATAGCAAATATACGGTACCTTTGAATTACAAGATCACTTTCCCATTGAATTACTAGCAAAAATATCCACAAAAAAGTTCAAATAAATAAGAATGCATGAATACCAACATTGAAAGCTGGGTTGCAAATCCTCAGTGAATCAGGTTCAGTCCTTCCAGTGTGGTCTGTTTATTTTTCAGATGAAAACCACCAATGCAACGGGAGCAACAAAGGCTCAATACCTTTAAAATAAGGCAAAAAATAGTACATTCTAGGCAATTTCATACTGTAGAAATTTAAAGTATAATATCAACTCCAAAAAAGACAGCACATACTGGCTGAAAAAACTGTCAAAATTCTCTCAGAATTCTAACAAGATCCTTTAAATAGCAAATACAAGGTAAAAGTTACCTCAAACAACAATGAACAAAACACGGAAAGGATATGACCAGTGATGGGATTAGGGCAGATTTCAGCAGTCCTGAGTCACACAGGACAGTTCAGCCCAATGAAATCAGCACAACTCTCCTTGCAGCACTATCCTGCCRTATCCAACTGAAAATGAGGTGGGAGAGGCTGCAGGGCAGGTAAAACTGGAACTGACCTCAGCGTGAGATGCAAGCAATGGAGAAAAAAGGAACGTATCAAGAGAGAAACAGTATTGCTTTAAATTTYTTCATGTGATGCACTAAAAATCCATTAGCATTACAAAGGAAAAGTTATACGTTTGGGAGTGAAATTCTGTTTCTTCACATCTTCTAACAGGGTAATTTCACTGCAAACTGAGTTGTTCAAAGTTTTTACTCATGTAASTGTCACAGAATCTGGCTGTTTATTTAAAATGCAACCTGAGCATATTTGTTTTGTAATACTGCAGAACTCTAAACCTTTACATTCTCTAGGAAAAAAAAGAAATCACTATTTAAATATCTCACAGTAATCTGTTCTTCAAGAAGCAAGATGCTTCAAGAAGCATCACCCGTGCTGGGTCACATCATCATATTGCTAAACCTTGTGAAAAAAGAGTAAYAGCCACACAAACACTGTGTTGTGGACATGTTTTAAGTAATTGATTTTAAACTGAATGTATTTAATGGAATAACCTTTTCTGCTCTATTCAGAAGTGCTTCCAAAAACAATATTTATCAATAAAAAAGGAAAGAAACATGGACCTCTCCATAAAAGGAGCTCTTTTTATCTGTGGGCCCAGAACATMGTGGAGCTAAAATGGAATCAGTATAAAACCCAGCCCTGCAGGTCTGCTCAGGCCAAGAGCTTTTATTGAGGCAAACAGAATTTCTGTTTACTTGTGTGAATAAAGACAACTGTGTCAGAAATAGCAAAAGCAGTGACAGAAATTAGACAGGGTGATTATCATATGATACAAATTTACTCGGCCAGATCGCACACAGAGCCCAGTGAAGAACAACTTTTCAGATTAATTTGAAGTGGCATCACCACCTCCACCTGCTTCACYTTTTAGACTCCAACAACAGACTGATGTCCACGGGATCACAAGCACACATTAAAACTTTCCTAGCTCTGTGGCAAAACACTTTTCCCAGCACCAATCACCTTTGCTCTGGTCACAGCTATTATTTATTCTTTAAGAAGTGCTCATGCAAAATGTGCCTGTACCTAMATGCCCTCCTTGAAACTCAGGAAAGCTTCAATTTGGAGAATKTAGCACACAGCAATATTCAGTGCTATAACAACATGCTAAAATATTTACTGCATCTAACAAAATTTGTTTAAAAAACTGCTGTTGTGATTATTGCCTGGCTCCTGCTCACCTCGGGTTTGATGCTTGTAACAGTGAATTAAAACAGTGCATTAAATTCCTGTTTACTGGAAAAGGAGCTCTCCTTTTTTCACTGCTGTTAACGTGAATCAGGAAAACTTRGCTAAGGCAGGCTTGCAGAATTTGGCCAGAGCTTGGAATACTAGCACTGGATGCACTTTTCATCTAAAAAAAGCTGAAATKCATGAGGCTGGAGCAAACCAAAAGGGTGAAACAGCAACACTGGGATATGCTGGTCCTCTGCAGCTGCTGGTGTTCAGTTCCATCCTGAGTCCCACCACTCCATTTATCTGATCTTTGAGCCTGTCAGATTAAGTTTCACTTGAATTGCATAGAGCTGAATGTACATGCAACTACAATTCCTATGAAGTGTAACTTTACAAATACTGAATCTGGAAATGTAACACTGTCATTACATTCATTTCCTTTACCAATTTAAAATTTCACATTTGGTCTCCAGTAGACTAGGAAAAAAAAAAAAAACACTAAAAATATTTCTTAAGACTATTCCTGAGCAATGTTTTTATGTACTGTAAAATACTCTACTTTATTACTACATTTCTGAATATTCTCACTTTTTAAACTACATATAAATCCATGCTTTGAAATTTTACAAAGCTGAAGATCTGGTAGGCACAATGAAAGATAGAAACAGCTAAGCATCTTAAAACCAAGATGAGCTCACCAAGAGAAGTGCAATTTAGCTATATACAGAATGTACTCTTTAGTGTTTGCTACTTTTTCATTTTYTATCATAATGTGAAGGATCCACTTGTAGAATCTGGTCCATCAGACCTCAGCTCACTTCTCATGAAGATTGTGACTGGTGACTGAGGAGGAAATGATGCTGACCAGAATTTTAAAATGAAAGTAAAAAATTCTTCAGAATTTCATCTTAATGAGACCCTGTCCCCAGCTGSTGTCATTCATTTGAAATTGTAACAGATCAACTGACACTTGAATATTCTCTGAACTGTCCTTTGTGTTCTCTTGTATCTCACAGACACAAGAGAAGGCCCAAGGACAGGACCCAGTCCWGGCTGTACAATTTCTTTCTGTGAGGCATTTGCCCATTTCACCTCCCTAAACCTCAAGAAGCCAAGCTAGACTGGACCACAGGATAAATAAATCATCTTAGGTGAAAATAGGYATGTTCTGTATCAAAATACATCTTTACTTGAACTTACAAGAGCCTTTAAGTTCTTCCCTTAAGAGGCTATTTTTTATGCTTTAAGAGGCTACCAGTTCTGCAAATTAGGCCACACAGTCTCTGCTAAAAGCCTTAGTTTGCATTACTCAAATATATCCGTGTGCAATTTGAAATTTGGTCATTTCCCCTAAATGACAAAAAGCATCAAGGCCTACAAAATKAACTTCCAGGAAAGCTGTCTGTAAACACAGTGAAGATTCCAGGGTACAAAAATACACATTCTATTTTCATAATCTGTCACTATTGAAGCTGTCTGGTCCCTAACACTTTATCTTAWAAAGAATTCTTTCTGCATTACAATATTTCAAAACATTAACTCCATTCTTCTTCTCAAAAAAATAATATCTATTTCATCAAAAAAAATCCAATTCATCTTCTGTGAAGAATCAGAGTTGACTTTGCATAGATATCAGGCTCCATTATTTTATAAAAACAGCTGAGCCATTTCCATCAGAAAACACCACAATCAAATCTGTCTTACAAAAAGCACATCTGGTCAAGGAGATTCCCTCACATACACCAGGGTAAGCACAAGAAACACCTCAGACTTCAACTGGTGCAAACAGGACATTCTCTACTTCTCTAAACTTCACACTGTGCTACTGTTATCTTCATTGAGCAATTATAAATRTTTTTGAGGAAAGACCAATGGAAGACATTTGCCTTCAGGGAAAACATTTCCTGCTGGCTTAAGATCAAATGTATAGAAATGAACAGTGCTGACTCAGAGCCACGTGTCAGGAACACATTTTTCTCAGGATCTTCCTATGAAGAAAAAAGGATTCTTCTGCACTGGCCAGATGCTTTCTAGCAGTCAAAAAGCATCAACACTAATGAGTTCTCCTTCACTGAAATTTGCGTGGTGGTTGCTTTGTGCCATTTGTTTTTATTTTCCTGTCCACYGTTGGTTTTTTAGGAGGAACATAASTGCTGGCATTGCCATTTTTCTTTGGATTTGTACATGTGTATGTTTTTAAGCCTTTGATGGGAGCAGCTGCACCATGGAATGCTGTGGGGCTTTGCTTAGGGGGTCTGATGTTACCAACGCTTTGGATTTTAGAGCTGCTCTCGGGTGGCTGCAGGCTGAGGAGCTGCTGCTTTGCAGCTGGTTTCTTTTTCAGTTCACTCCTTCCATCACCAGTTTGCCTGGGAGAAGATGCTGCACTTCCCATCCTCTCCGGGAGTTTCAGGTGAGCTGGATGGGAGCGCACCTGGCGAGTCTCCTCCGAGTAGGGATCTGCCCTGTGACCCAAGCAGCTCCTGGGCAGCCTGGCCATGCCTTCCTGGGGCATCATTTGCCTGCTGGGCAAAGGGCTGAGCAGTGCTTTGGCTTTTCCAGGGCTCTTGAGGGCACGGGCAGAGCTGGGGGCAGTCTGGGGCCGACCTTTGGCTGCTCTGCCCTTCTCACTCTGCACCGTCTGCATCTGCAGCCACTCCAGCTGCACCAGGCGCTCAATGTATTTCTCCAGAGATCCCGTGGGCTTGGGGCGGAAATCAGTTTTCCCTTCCACGTGGAYGAAGATGGCCAGCTGCTTCAAGTCCCAGGAGTTGAAAGGAGGTGGGAGRAAGTCAGGGTAGTAATATTCTGATTCCTTAAATCCCATTTCAGGGATGTGTTCCAAACAAACAGGGTCGATTTCTTCCGCTCTGAGGATGAGTTCTGGTGGTGTGCAGGGAGAGGGGGGAATGGGAATCCTTTCTGAGTCAGAGAGATCACTGGCACTATCATCTTCAGCATCTTCTTTAATAATTTGTACCGATTCAAAATCAAGAAACATTGCACCTACAGATGTTTCTTGCCATTTAGAAGAGCCTGGACTGGCTTCAGCAATGTATTCTTCGTGATTCCTTCCCAACTGTTCTTTTTTACTGCAGTAMAAATGCTGCACTGGGACATCTTTAGCCCTGCAGAAGTTTCCTTGTGTGCTGCCCTTTGTGCCAGGGGGRATCCTGTGTGGGAAGGATTCATTTTGCCTTCTTTCTGGGAGACTCTTCTTTGGTCCTGGTGCACTCTGCAGTGAGGTGCAAACACTCGGGATCCTAAAGGAAAAGACAGATCATGTCCTGTTAGATGGGTCAATGCCTTTGAACATCAGCTCACAAAGGTCTTGCCACCCTTCAAGGACAGGGATCTATGTGACTAAAGCTAAAACTGGCAAGGAAACTTAGTAATGAGGCAAAATTAATAATTGCTGGTAGAGATAACGGTGCCTACTACTGCGTTTTTGGGTTTTTTTTAATTCTGATTTTGCTTGAGAACTCATAAAAGCAGGAAAGTTAGTTTTCATATTGATAACTTCGATTTGTTGTTCTCATAAATGCTGAACTCTGGRCCAGGGAAGTCAAATGCACGACACAGCACCCACAATTTCCTCACAAGCATTTTACATACCAGTCTGAAACTACTACAAATTAAACAGATAATCTTAAAAATTACCTTTTTGACTGATTATTGCCATCCAGTTGGTTCCTTCCCTTCTTAAGAACACTTGGTTGGTGACCATCTTGAGTGTCATGGGAAATCTGACGGTATATGAAAGTTTGTGATGTTAATAAGAAGCTGACTTAGACCGGGTACCCTTTTAAAGTTAGAAAAATTGATTATTTACCTTTTCAATGGCACTTGATACATTTTTGCCTAATCGTCCAGGAGGAGATTTCACATAAGAAATTGGTTTATTTAGTCCTTTGGTGCTTGGATGGCTTTTTCCATTACTGTAACCAGGAAGGATTAAACAGAATATCAGACATAAACAGCAGCATATATGAGTATCAGAATGGAAATACAATAAAAACTTTACAGTGTAAAATTTGCATATTCTCAACAAAATTTAAAGGATTACTCCTTTGAAGATAAGGAGTGGAAGTGAATAGGGAGCATAAGGTCTCTTCTGGTGTTAATACACACTCTTTCACAACAAAGGCATAAAAAATTCACTATTTCATGTTATAAATGGGGTTGTGAAAAAATGTTAGGATGAGAAAAAAYTCATGCAAGCAGAAAGAATGGCATTACTGATCTGAGCAGTTTAAAAGTAAAGCATACTTTCTCAATTAAAGCAGATACATTTCTGTAAGGACAGAATAAACAAATAAATCAGCATATTCTAAACAAAACAGAACAGAGTGTTTGTTCTACAAACAAGAAATACTACTGACTTCAAAATAGAAAGCTGTAAAATGAACAGGAATAATCAAACTGTGCTATCCTGTCTAATCGAGCTTTACTGCAGTTCAGTTTTTTGGTCAGGCTGTACATCTTGTTCTCAGTTCTAATSTCATTATAGTCAGATTTTGGTTTTAAAAACACATGATTTCAGAAATTCAAGAGCTTATAAAAGAATGAAACCAGGTCCTGTGTCTCCAGCATTGCTGCAGTCACCTCTGTGACCTTGTGACCTGCACGATCATCCTGCACAATCATTTCTGCTGCTGGGATCAGGGCTGAGGATGGCAATTGGGGCAGGACAGCCAGGCACTTATTAACTAAACCACAGTATGCTGGCATTTCTGTAACTATAAAAAGAGAAATCAATTTCCTTACTTTACCATTCCTTTGTGGTTTTCATTGGTGTGGCTGTGGRTTTCCTTCTGCTGTGTCTCTCTGTGCAGTAATAAGGGATATTCCTGAATGCCTGGTCCCATTATTCCTCTTTCCAAAGGGTATCTGCACCTTTGCTGTTACATAATCTTCAAACGGCTCCAGTCTTTTGGGTTTGCAAGACACAGCGTCTCCAATGCATACATCCCCCCGTCCTGGAGATGCAGGCAAGGAACAAAATCCTCCCGAGATGCGATTCTATTTTTAAAGCAGTAAGATAAACATAATCAGCGACCAAACTGTACTGGAAAACGGTCCCCTCCCCCAGCAGTCGCTTAGTGGGAAGCAGCATCGTTCAGTTTACTATTCCAAATCCAGGGAAATACCTGCGGGTCCGGCTGTGCTCTCAGAGCTGCCGTGCAGTGTCATGTGCTCATCACCATCCCCAGCTCAGCCTGCGCACTTCAGGTGCTGCCTGGAGCCGGGCGTCACAGCCCAGCGGGGTGGGTGGCTGTTCCTGCTCCSTTTATGGAGAGCAGATGATCAACCCCCTGCGAGCTGCGCCAGCTCAGCTGGCCTTTTTCTGTCACAGAACCCGCTTTTCTGATATTCATATATGCAAATTTTGTATTCAATACTTATTTTTTTCCTCTTCCGAAAGAAATGTCTCATCAGCTCCTACTAAAAATACTCAGAGCAGGATCCATAGCTCTCTTACTTCCCAGGAGCTGCATTCCCACACCAGGGAACTGCACAATGGGCTGCAAATGTGACAAAGAGCTCTCCTGAGCCACCTTTGCTTCTATTCCGTGATGTTTATGTAGTTATAGTCATGTTAAACCGTATCTATTCACATTTGATCCCGTCCTATCCCTAAAGCGCCTCCCCGCATCCTGCCCAGGCCGCGCTCAGCGGAGCCGGGCCCCGAGCGCCGCAGTCCCGCACCCGGAACGGGACAGAGCAGAGATGGGGATGGTGGCAGTGCTGGGGATGGTGGCAGTGCTGGGATGGTGGCAGAGCCGGGGATGGTGGCAGTGCTGGGGATGGTGGCAGAGCCGGGGATGGTGGCAGTGCCGGGGATGGTGGCAGAGCCGGGGATGGTGGCAGTGCCAGGGATGGTGGCAGTGCCGGGGATGGTGGCAGTGCTGGATGGTGGCACTTCTGGGATGGTGGCAGTGCCAGGGATGGTGGCAGAGCCGGGGATGGTGGCAGAGCCGGGGATGGTGACAGAGCGCGGGATGGTAGCAGTGCTGGGATGGTGACAGAGCGCAGGATGGTGGCAGTGCTGGGATGGTGGCAGTGCTGGGATGGTGGCAGTGCTGGGGATGGTGGCAGAGCCGGGGATGGTGGCAGAGCCGGGGATGGTGGCAGTGCCAAGGATGGTGGCAGTGCTGGGATGGTGGCAGTGCTGGGATGGTGGCAGTGCCAAGGATGGTGGCAGTGCTGGGATGGTGGCAGTGCTGGGATGGTGGCAGTGCTGGGGATGGTGGCAGAGCCGGGGATGGTGGAAGAGCCGGGGATGGTGGCAGTGCCAAGGATGGTGGCAGAGCCGGGGATGGTGGCAGTGCTGGGATGGTAGCAGTGCTGGGGAAGGGCGGCAAGCTGTGCCCTGAGCTATGGCAGGCAGTGCCCGCGGTGGATGGCAGCAGTGGCAGCAGGCGCAGGCTGTGCCCGCAGCGATGGCAGCTGTACCCGCAGCGCCCGCCGAGCCGGGCCCGCTCCGGTGACTGCCGCCGCCGCTGTCACCGCGCTCCCCAAGGGCCGCTCCTTCACTCAGCGGCTCCCCGCGCCCCGCATTCCCCGCTTTCCTCGCCCCCGGCCCGGTACCTGCCCTTCCTCCGCGTCCGTCGGCAGCGGCAGCGGGGGCGATGGGGGCAGCGCCGCCCGAGCGCAGAGCGCGGGGGCCGGGCCAGGCTGGGCCGGGCCGGGCGGGGCGGGGGAAGCGGCCCAGCGCCTGCGCTGCGGGTGCGGAGCGGAGCGGCCGCCGTGTCGGCCGGGGCCCGGGCCGGGCTGCAGCCGGGGCCGAGCCGCCCATGGGCGCTGTGGCGGCCCCGAAGGCGGATCCGTCCCCCGCCAGTCGCGATACCGAGCCCGACAGCCCTCGCCCGCCCTCCAGCCTCTGCAGCAGCCCCGGCTCCSTCCCGCCCGACAGCCTGCAAGCCTTCCCCGGCCTCGACTCGCCCAGCATCCAGTGTGACAGCCTGGAGTGTCCWCCCTGTTCGTGCTGCTGCTGCTGCTGCCTGTGCTGCCGGAGCGCGGGCTCGGCCGTGGCCAGCGAGGACAGCCTGCAGGCCCCGCTCGCCCGCACACAGCGCTGCTTTGGAGCGCACCGCGCATCCAGCGACCTCTCCGACAGCCTCGAGTCCTTCATCCAGCACGACAGCCTCCAGTCGCTCTCCAGCCTGTGTGCGAGCTCCTCCAGTATCAGCGGGGATAGCCTGGAGTCCCTTTCCAGCCTGAGCCTCGGGGCCACCAGCCAGCACAGCGATCTCGAGTTCATCGGCCACTGASTCTGCCTTCAGCTTCCCACACAGCGCCTTACGCTGGCTCTGGGMCAGCTGCCCTGAGAGTTCCAGGCTTCTGCCCTTCGTTCGGAGCTGACGCTGTTCCAGGTGGTTCTTGCTGCACCCAAGGCATAACTTCAGACTTACTGTGGCTGCCATTCCCAAATTAAGTGCTTCAATCACTTCATATTGGTGATTTTTTTGTCACCAGTTRAAAATGGAGGTGCGTGGTCCTCGGAGGAATCCCAGCTACCTCTCAGATCTYTATCAGAACATGTTAAGGGCTGAAGGAGCAGTGGGCCGAGGGCTGCAGCAGCCCCCAGCAATCCCTACAAGTAGCAGCAAGACTTTCTGGAGCAGTGGGCCATGCAAGGAGAGCCCGCAGCCAAAGCATCCCGAGAGCAGCAGCTCCTCCAGCTGTGACCCAGCCCTGCGACCCATCATCCGCCGCCGGGCCAGGTCCCTGCCGACATCACCCGAGAGGAGGAAGAGAGCAGCAGCGCAGTGTCAGGAGCCCGGCTGCCAGAGCCGCATCAACCGGGTCAGGTTTGCCGATGCCTTAGGCTTGGAGCTCACTGAAGTGAAAGTCTTCCAGACTGGGGAGGATCCATCCATCCCTTTGCATGTCCTTTCCAGGCTCTCCATAAACTCAGACCTCTGGTACAGCAGCKTGAACTTGGAGTTTACTATGCAATGCTTGGTCCCTGACTTCCAGCAGCCTGGAGACTGTCCGGATTTCTCATCCCGACTCCAGGAGCAGCAGGTGTGTCTGGAACGGGTGACCAGCTCAGATYTGGGGCTCAATGGCACCATCCAGGTTCGCAATGTTGCTTTTGAGAAGCAGGTGTCCGTGCGCTACACCTTCAACCAGTGGGAAAGCCTCCATGAGGTGTGTGCTCGCTGGCAGCAGAGCATCCCAGAGAAAAACGGGCACAATCAGGTTGATGTGTTCACTTTCTTTCTTCCTGTGCCTCCTTTTCTCCTTCAGCTGAGCACTCTCGTCCAGTTTGCAGCAAGGTACCAAGTCAACGGCCAGGAGTACTGGGATAACAACAGAGGCAAGAACTACACCCTCACCTGCCGGACTCACCCCCTGAAGGTGCCGAGGGAATGTGAGGAGAGCTGGATCCACTTCATCTGAACAATGGGAATGCGTGCTGAGCAGTGTGTCAGTGGTCTCAGTGACACTGTGTTCCTTGGCGTGGCTCTCTGCTCCTATGGCAACAGTCTTCTTTTTGCAACCTGCCAAACCTGGCCAAATGTCCCAGGGCTGGGAAGTAGCCAGTGATAAACTGTTCTAAACCTTGGGGCAAGTTAAAAGGGCCAAAATCTGTAGAGAGATACAATCATAGAAAGGCCATGTGGGTTTTTTGAGTGTATGAGGCAGAACGGTTCCAAGGAATACTGTCAGGCCACCAGAGAGCAAAACAACACATTTCTTGTTGCTAGTAATACTCTTGGTTGCATAGAATGTTTCTAACTAATCTCTTACCATTTTCTACTGTTTGTTTTCTAAATGGACAGCGTGGCTTTACTGGCTTTGTTTCTAATTTTGTTTATATTACCTCACCAAGTCTGGGCACTATTCCATTTGTGCATAGTTTGGATGGCAGATACTCTAGGGAGTACTTGTATTTATATAGATGTATTACTAAAGCTGTAAACAGGTTGGATATTGCCATTAATATTTGAGTTGGAAATTAAATGCTACCATGAACAAACCCATACATGAAAAYGTGCCATCAGCCTCTCTGTTTCCCTTGGGAAAAAAATAAAAGGTGCCTTTTCTTATCTCCTCCTTGCAGCAGGAGTGATTGTTAGCAAAGTGTATGTAAGGCACTTCTGCCTGGGGAAATTCTCATCTTTGTCAAGTGATGCCCAGGTAGATTTTTCTCAAGGTGGTGGTGCAGGAATTGTCTTTTCCTGGTGCACTTGTTTTACTGAGGGAAACGAGAGCAATCTTGGACTTGTGTTGCAATTGCAGTTGAAGATCTCAAAGCACTTGCTCATGATTTTACCACTGTTACTGGTAAAATTATAAATCAAGAGATGGATATGATATACATACACATATAAGGGAAAAAAATAGGACAGGGAGCAGGGTACAGAGGCTTGGAATAGCMTTCCAGAATACTGAATCCTGGCTGTTCCCCAGCATGCCAGTACTACTGCAGAAGTAGCTTTGACTTCTTTATTTAACTGCTTGCCATTATAAYCCAGTTGAACTCCCAAGGCTGCAGCCTTTGCAACACAAGCAGGAACTTGAAAGCAGTTCATTTGGTRAACTGATACTTACACAGACCCGTGAACAGAATCCCTTCTGCTGCAGGGAARGCACAGGAACACTGTTAGATCATCTTCCCGTGCTTCTTGCTCTATTATTTTCATTCTATGGTTTTAGTGTGGTTTAAGATTGGCAACAGGTTTAAGTCTATTAAGTAAACGATTGTCCATGATTTTTTCTGTACATATTCATTACTGCATGGAAAGTTTATTTGTGTAGCATAGACTTTCAGAACTGGCTGGTTGGAGATTTTAGGACTATGCTGTGAAAATGAGGCCACTTTTTGGGTGTCTTATTTTGGATTGGTGCTTATTTATCAAAATCACAAGTTGTTTGTAAAATCACAGTTGTAAGCAACCCATGGCCAATTACATTTTAGTCTGAAAAGTCTACTGAGTAATTCTGGAAGTGCAGAAACACTAAGAAAATTAATTTGTCTGGCAACTTAAGCAACAACTGTTGCTCTTTTGTTGTGATACCCATTTAGCAAACCTGGGCTTTCAAGTGAGGAATCTGACTCGTTCCATTGGTCTTTGGCTTTCAGAGGAACCAGAGTCAGGAATGAGGATTCTGTGAGCTGCTGAGCACCTTTTGCAGAGCACTCAGAAAGCTCAATCTTATCTGAACATGCACACACATGCACAGAAGTGCTTGTGCTGAATAAAATGCACTATTTTCAAGTATTGTTCCCTCTTTCCTTTCCCTCCCTAATGACTGTATTTCTTCCATTAGAAACACAGCACACCACAAACCCCCTCTCTCAGCAAAAACCAGCTCACAGTGGGTACTGCTGGAGCGCAGAGCAATACTTGTTTTCCTGGCAGAAGAATGTTTCTGTCTTCTGGGAGAGACTGTCATGTGCTAGCAAATGTCAGACCTGAGTGTTCTCTTTGCCAGGGCAGATCCTGTAAAGCCGAGCTGTCAGGGGAAAGGTTAATGCCAGATGTAGCACAGTGGGGAGAGGGGTGAGAAATGTCTCAGCAGTCTGAGTTGGGCTTCTATTGTCTTGTTTCCCCAATCTCTCAGGATACTGGCATGTGCAAGGTCTTGAATACTAAATACTGAAGCATTATTCCAAGTTTGCTTTTGCTCTCTCTGCTGGTCTGCACTGCTGGGGAAGGAGTGGCAGTTCAGTTCCTGGCAGTGCAGCTCTCGGGCACTGCTGGCTCAGTGRAGCAGTGGAACTGAGAGCCATCTCCAGCTTAAACTGCTAAACCTTCACACCAGTACTGACACCTGTCACATCAGAGCTGATATTTGCACTTAGCTTTTCTTGTCACACTCTGGCTTCTGGGGGACAAAAATGGGATTAAGCCATTTCGTGCTAATAAGTACTTGTTGTGAAGGTAAACTYAGACCACATTTTTATCTTCTCAGGACAACTTGACTGCTTGCACTGTGTTCARATTGAGCACTTCCCTTAGAATGAGGATTTTGTAAAACTGAATTCTTCACAAGGGTTATCACCGTATAATGCACTTTTAAAAACATGTRTTTATTATTGTTGTATGGTAAAATGAATGTCTAATAGTCCACAGATCCAAGGTTCTTTGAAGCATGTTTTTTAAAGAAATGTATGAAATTCATGTAAATGAAAAGGGGTTGTCTTTCCTGATCAAATGTCTTGTCCAGAATAAAGTACATTACAGTGTATCAATAAAGCACATATGCTGGACAAAAAGTCTAGCTGTTGTAAAATTGCAAAGTGCTTAAAYAACTTTAAAAAGCAATAATAAAATGATGCCTGTTGTAATACAGAAGATTGAAATAAAAGCTTTTCACAATTTTATATTGTTTCTGTCCATGGTACTCCTGTTAAGAAAGCTCATGAAGACATTTGAGTTGTCACAAAACAACACACTCAGGAAAATGAGGTGGGTTTGAGTTGCTAAACAATGAACAGCAATTGATAAGGATCCAGTAATTAGTGTATGTATCTGTAAAGATGATCAGGCTGCCACTTTGTACATAGAATCTGCTGTCCTTCCAGCTCCGTTCTGTGCCTGCAGCACCTGAAGGATTGAGATCATATTTTGGAAAAATGCTTGCTGCCAGYTGATTCTAATACAGCTTCATGGAAGAGAAACTAAGAGAGAGGGATTCTCCTCTAATTGCACTTTACAAATCTGTGCTAGACTGTACATAAAACATTCGTTTCTGTGTGTCACAATTGTGATACTATTTGCTCTATTTTTTTTCTTCCAATTCTTCTTTCAAACCAGGTTCTTTCCCCCAACAGGTYTAATGAAAATCTGTCTACAAGTGAGATATTAAGAGTGTCCATCTGCAGTGCCTGATTTATCCTCCGTGTATGGAAATACATCTCCATTGGGGTCAGTCTTGATACAGTTCAAAACTGGAATTATCGGTGGCCAGGTTTCTCCTAAAGCAAAATGGAGACATTTAACTAGAAGACATAATTAGTAAAGATATATATTATCAGTTCCTTTTTAATCTATGCTAGTAACTTCAACAYTGCATTGTCAGGGTTGCTTGGGGGAAAGATGATTATTACAAATCAATTTAAATGCATGGGAATGACTCTATTAAGTCATTTAAAAATGTAAGGTTATTTAGGAAAAGGATCTTTTTTTTCTGCAAACATCCAACTATCAGGTTTATCTCACAGGTTGTTAGTGTTATATTTATAATAGGTGGTATTTTTACATTTTGTTTCAAATTCATAGTTTATTTGTATTTATTTTACCAAGAAAAGAATGAAGTTCCAATTTGTAATGATACTAATATGCATCTAGTCAGTAGCTACAGCACTTAATGTAGTGTATCATCAGTGATCAGTTGTATTTTACAGCTGGCAAAGACTTCGAGCTGGAAGTCCAAGTGATCATTCATTTGGCAACAGAAGTGTAACATTAGTACTGACTTCTTTCCCAACTTCTTTTCCCCTGTGATCTCAGATCTGCAAGTATTGCAGCTGACACTTGATATTAGAACTGTTGGAATCAACACTTGTGACCCTTCTCAGTTTCACACACAACAGCAGCTGTGCCAAAGATTGAAAATACCTTGGCCAGCACAATGTTTTCCACAAACTATAATAAGGATAAACATTTCTGCTACTGTAGTGAATAAGGGTCCCTGTAAATAGTGCTACTCTACCCTGAAGAGTTTCCGTTCCATTTTCTCTGCTGTTTTTATATGTGCCTGAAATAACTGTGGCCAAATAATTTTACTGTTGTTCTGGTCTGTTTAATGCCTGACTCAAGGAAACTTCTGCTCTGACTTCCCTTCTGCTAAACCAAACAAAACAGACTAATGGTAGAGAATGAGAAATGAGCTGAAACAATCTCAGTGTAGGTTGCAGGAAGGGAAGTGTGTGCTCCACTTCTGGACTGACTCACTTTTGCTATAAAATAAGTAAGGCTGGACAGGCTCAGCCCGGGTGTTTGCAAACTGGCTTTCATTCTTAATGCCTCGGTTCAGGATTCAGTTTTCATAGAAAACTTCTGATGCTCCAAGTTCCTTATGCAAAGTTTTGTCCTTAGTAGGTTTCTCAATAAAGCTGTTTTACAAATCTGCTTCAGTACTGCTCACTCCCAACTTCTCAGTGCAGATGCTGCACTTCTCACAGCACTTGTCATTTTCTTGCATTASAGTGACATCTCGTGGTATTTTAAACACTTTCTGTAGATCTTTTTCTATTTTTGCCTTTTATAATATTGAGGCTTTATCTTTCTTATTTTAGCGAGTCCGCAGTGTTATTTTATTTACAATTGCTGCAGGTTTACCTGCTTTGAAAGGCGATTTCTCTCCTAGATGCYCCACTATTGCTGCTTATTCTAGGTGTAAACAGAGACGCTTCTTGATACTCCACTGGAGTATGAGTTTCGTGACAAATTTTATCATTTGTATTTGTAATATAGCAGTAGAAACACCAATACCACACCAGCACAGGTAAAGCTCCCATTCAGCACTGTCGGATTCCATTTAAGCACATTATCTARYGYACTGCTGGATTTTAAGSACATTATCCAGTGCACTGCTGGATTCYACTCAAGKACATTATCCACTYCCCACTGCATAATAAAGACCAYAGACGTCAGTGGAAGCCCTTCACCCACAGCAGGTCCGTAACCGAGCGTGTCTTTGCACCTACTCGGGCAGTGAAAGCGTTTCTGAATTAAGCATAGAATGAATCGCACTGTTTTAGCAAGCTGATACCCAGTGATTCAGTTTGCGTTGAAGTTGGTTTTGTACACGGACCGTACACAACACAATTTGCCTTCAGGAGCAGGGATCACCGCGCTCAGGGCGCTCCCGCCGCCCGCTCTGGGGCCCTTAGCACCGCCCCGCCCCCTCCGCCGCTCGCCATTGGCCCGCGCGCCGCGCTGCCGGACGCTGATTGGCTGGCGCCGCGCTGCCGGGCGCTGATTGGCTGGCGGCGGGCGGCGCCGCAGTTATTAGCCGGCGGGGCGCGGCGTGAGGGGCGCGCGCGCGGCGGGGGGCGGGGCTGTGCGGGGCGAGGCCGGGCCCGCCCTGAGGGTGCCGCGCTGAGGGCGGGCGGGGGCTGCGGGTGAGGCCGCTCTGCTCCGGGGATTTATCGGGGCGTTCCAGTGGGGCCTGCAGGGCTGCTGTGAGGAAAAGGGTGCTCTGTTTCCTCCTCAGGGGTATCTGACCGGGCCGGACACAGGAGAGCTGTGAGGTGTCAGCACAGGCCTCAGYGGAGGCCCGTTGCGTTCTTGTGTTGGAAAAAGTAATTAAAAATCACCCTGTGTTTGTTATTTCTGTATTACTTTGTACAGGAATAGCTATGCTGTGTTTCCAGTTGCTGCTCTACAGAAGTCATTCCATGTCTAGCCATTGTTTGGTTTGTCTATATAATGTCTGGGATGGGGAGACCAAAGCTGCCCGTTGTTTAGTGTCCGTGGTTTGGTTGGTGTGAAATAATTTGTACAAACCATGAACAAGTTAGTTGCTTTTAAATGTTTAACAAAGCAAATGCTTTGTCTGCCCTTGGCTATTATGACACTGTTTTCAGAATCCTCTGTTATCCAGACCTTCCTTTCAGCTGGTGACAGTCACTTTGGAGCCCATCACGGTATAATTAAGAAGGCTTTTTCCCTGTGTCGTTTATCATACTTGTGTTAAATGATATAATTTAATGTTTTATAGTGAGGCCCTTACAGAGTTTTGTTGTTGACTCTCCTTTCCTGAATAACCTGGTGTTGGACCATCCTCACACTCTTTTCYTCTGGGAAATCCTGAGAGTCCTGTCACACCCCTGTGTACCTCCAGCCACAAAACTGAATCATTCCTTCCTCTCTTTCATTTTAAGTAATTGTTTATCCATGTTAGAAACTTCCTTATATCCCCAGTTTAGGTGCTTAAATAGAATTTATATAACATTTATACCACTGACAAACRTAGGAGTTTGTAATGTAGTTTGACTAATTGCTGATGCATTTGGAAAACCTGTTTCAGGTGATGATTGTTCYCTTTTATGCAGGTGAATTGAGTTGGTGAATTGCAAAAAATGCCAGCCAGGAATGAGATACAGGTRTGTGCTGATTGAGTATTCATTGTTTTAATTACTGGCATTCAATTGCAATTAAAGTCTTCAGTGTGGCAGGGCAGTGTGGTAGGAAGAAATTTTTTCTTGGACGTAGCTTAGTGCAGAGCAGCTGGGTGGAAACCAAGAGGAACTGGGGATTGTTACTGATGAAAATAAATCTTGTATATGACAGATAAATCAACTGAGGTGATACTTGAGATCAAAATGTTGAAATCCAGTTATAAATGATTTACGAAGAGTGGAGGGGCAAAATGGTTAGGTAATGTAAGTTAGAAAAGTAAAATATTAAATATACTAAAGAAGGAGGATTGACGCAATGAACACTTCTGTAGGAATTTAGTTGCAATACAAGGAGACAAAAGCCTGTTAAGAAAAAGTGAAAATAATTAAAATCTCAGTGCATAAGTATTTGCAGGTTTAATGTATTAGGTGTGGTGCTCTGTACTTAAGGTTTTATACTTAATTATTTTGTGACTCAATATTTGCTTCAAGTGCAACAGGTGATTGTGCGAAACTTGCATCAAACCTGTGTTAATAAGATGTGTCATATCAGTGTAAAGCATACAGTGATACAGTTGTTTGGTTTATTGTTTACAGTTTGAAAAGTTAATTGATGAAGCAACAAGAAAAAAGGATTTCCAATCGTTAGAACAATTTCTGGCCACAGATGAATGTGAAAATGYCTCTCACAAATGCAGCAAACAGTTTGCCAACAAATTGGACAAGCTTCTGTGTTGGGTAATGTAATCATTGCATGAAAGTCATCTACACTATCTTTGGAATGGGTTGAAAAGGATTTTTTTCATTTGGCTTGGTTGATACCAGYTCTTGATTTAAGAACCCAAAATAAAATTTAAGAATGAAATTTCTCCTTCAAGCTGCAGTTAAGGTAGCTCTTGAGAATAAAAAAGGCATCTGTTTAATTAAATATGAGTCCTTGTGGGACTTTACACTAAAGCTTATGTTGTAATTTTGATTTCAGGCACTTGACAAACAGGAAGTCAAAAGCGTTTCTACTTTACTAAACGCTATTCAGAAATGTGGGAAAAAAATCAGCATAGCAGGAGAAGATGGGCTCCCAGCAATGATAAAAAACGGGCTTGTTGGAAGGATAAGTAAAACCATAAAGCATCTATGAACTTCTAAATACATAAAGTGCATAAGCAGTGCTTCAGTGCTGAGYAGCTCAGTGCTTGATTTGGCCCTTGACAGGGTCAGAATTAAGAATTTCCCATGGCTTTGCARCAAACATTGCTCCCATTTAAACATTCTTTGTCAGGTGACCCCTTATGAAGTGTTGCTGCTCTGTCTCATTGAGGGTTTTGCAAATCATGCAATATATAATTCATTTAGATATGCTTACAGCAATTACAAGAAGATTATATATTTTCTTATGAGTTTGCTATATTGCTATGAAGTCAGGAATTAGAACTTCCAGGTGCTATTTAACATGTTATTGTTAATTCCCACAGCAGCGATTTTGTATCTGCTCTTTCACAGATTTTAGTGCTGTTTTGATTATTTGGTGTTATTTTAACTTGCGTGTTAGACGCATTTGTAACTCAGTAAATACTGAACAATTTCAGCTCTTTTYTCTGTGGTGCCAGATGTCAAAGTAGATCTCCAATTTTTATGTTGAAAAGTCCTTAAAATYCTCTAATTTTGTTATGCCTGTGTGGAAAGTTTGTATGGGGCTAACATATGCTCAGCAGAGTGGAGATGCTCTTGTTGTTTTAATCATTGTAYARTTTGTATAGATTTACTTAAGTACARTATAACCCATTGTCCTTYTCCAAGCTACTRAAATAGATTTACCTTTGTTTTCCCTTTACATGGTCAATTGGTTTGAAAAGTTAAAAGGAATTTTGGTCCTCGGAGGAAATGAAAATAATGAAATGCTTACAGGTCTGGCTGAAGATTTCTTCAACATGTTGCTGGTACAAAATACATTGATAATAAAATTTGTCAAAGTAATTGTTATTAGTTTAGAGCTTTCAAATGTGTTTCTATTTAATATCTTTCTAAAGTGAAACTTACAGTGATTTCTGAAATCTGTTATAAGCCACTTGGGATAAACAATTGGCCTCTATTCATACTCATTTTCTGTTCATGGTTGGCATCATGAAGTAAAGTTAAAAACCYGAACAACATTAAATGTTCCACGAACAGAAAATTTTCATCTTGATCAAATTCTGATTACATAAATGATTGGTATGCTAGCCCAGTTTATAAGACCTGTTTTCTTCATAATTTTTTTATTGGTGAAAAAATTTCAGAGAGTTTAATTGAAATATAATTTTGGGAAAGCACACTTGTTAGTGGAAATAATCTCCTATGTTGTTTATTAAGGATGAAATAGTTTCAAAATCTTAAATGCTTTTTTATTACTTCCTTTGGATACATATTGCCTGATTTTTTATGCTGTAATATTTTCCTTATCAAAATGATGTGGTTTSTTTGTTTATTGCAGGCTGTGTGTGATAGCAGACCTGAAGGTGAGCTTAAAAAGCAGAAATGATACTTTAAAGTGTCTCTTTCAGAACACACAAAGCAYCACATTTCTCATTCCTGTGACATGTCAGCCCTAASTTTGTTTRGTTTGAGGTTTCTCTGTGGACAGATTTCCCTGTAACTTGCTGTTGTCAGTAATAAAAAAGCACAATAAGCTTCAGAGATGGCAAATGAACTGAGTTTTTCCAAAAAAAAAGAGTTGTTTCTAAGGTGCTGTCACAGCTCAGCATAGCACAGTGACCCTTTATTGTCATTGTCAATGTCACCCTGCTCTTACCTTCCAGTGTGGCACTAGGGAGAAAGTCCCTACAGACTGTTTGGTGTCATGATCAAAATGAAAGATTCATTTCCTGGGCCCAGGGGAGATGAATTCCAGCACCTGAATTGTATCTCAGAGAGCTGAGTTACAGGATTGACCAATGGCATTAGAAAATTAATAATCTCATTCCCAGGGGAACTACACAGTGATGCACAGGAATGGAGACGTTTCTTATAAACAAGGAACTATTTTGTTTTGCATGTCACTAATCCTATATAAAAAGACAGACATTATATTTTATTTCTAAATGAAAATGAATCTTTTCCCAAATGTTTATGAGGGGCCACCCTACAAACTCTTGACAACTCTGATTCATTTCTATTCTGTTTATTAGGTAAAATGCAAATACTAGAAAACTTTGTTCTGAGAACATGTTCCCTCATCACTGATGCAAGAATTAATATTTATGTTCAGCAGGAGGTAAGCATACTTCTTTCTCTCCAACAGTTTTCTGGTTAATGTGTTTACAGACTTTGTGGAGACAGTTGTTTAACCATACAGAYGCTGCAAAAAAGAATATTGTAGTGCTCTAGGATCAGAGTGATTATTTAATGTTTCTCTGGGAATGTTTGTTGTTACTTATATGTTGGGGCATTTTTAGATTACTGACCTATTGTGGTGAAGTTGTTTGTTWGTTGGATTTTTTAAAGAGTAAATTACAAAACAGTGGCATTAAGGATCTGGTGAGAAAGCTGTGKAAAAGCATAAGAAACAATGTGCTCTASAGCTGCTAGAAATAGGATTGAGATTGTTGGTTGTAAATGCTTTAGTCACTTGCAGGAAGTTTGCATTCCTTCCAGTACACTCCAAACTCCTGTTTGTTTTAGTAACCTCAGACTGACARGGGATTTTTCCCTCTAAAGAAAGGGAAAGTTACAAAAAAGTCCTCTGTAAAAGCTACATTCCCCAAAGGAAGTGCTTTTTAATGCTAATTTAAGGTACTCTTTAGTTCAGCAGTACACTGCAGACAGAACTCTGGTTTGAAAGATTTTCTGTATTTAAACCTGCAAATGAGAAACAACTACTGTTCCCATTAAAACAAAYGTAATTTCTTGAAATTGAGGTTGCTTTAGTAAGAGAAATGCCATTTAAAGTCATGCAGAACTCGTCTTTCCTTGTTTTGTAGTTAGTTAAGCCTGTTGCTTTCTCCAGTGGTGYGAAATACATTAAAAGGGCCCAAAATAAGAACAACTTAAAGTTTAACAAATTTAATTTATATAAAATCTTACTTTTTTTCCACTCTCCTTAGGTGATAAGAAAACTGAATTTATTGCTTGACAAGACCCCTCGAGAGACCAGGAAAAAGCTACTTTTTACRAAGGAGATGTTACTTGTCATGTAAGTGAACTTCAGTACAATTTTTGTGTCATTCCATCATTTGCAAAGCTGGGAGGCAGTTTTTACTGAGCTGCTGTGCAGATTGGTCCCTGTTTAGCTCACTTCTGCATTTGCWGTGCAATTCTCAGCAGTAGTGGCTGTGGACAGTTATTCTCATGGGTTATTTTCCATTACAAGCCTGAATTTTCACCTTTCCCAGTCTGGGTCAGGCCTCTCCTCATCCCAGTTGTCATAAAATAATTAAACTTTGATTTATAAGGTGCTTAAAGCCTAATGAATCAGTCACTGGAAGKATGGGCTGTTCACACTGGAAATAGTTTCACAGTGCTTCAAAAATGCAGATAGAATGAAAATTGCATCTATCAGGGGATTCAGTTCCCCAATTGATGCTTCCAGAGGTACCTCCTTAGCTTAGCAGACTTATCCCTTGAAACACTTGCAGTTCCATGGAATCAGGGGTTTGTCTGGTACATTGAAAGTTTGTAATAAACCTTTCCTCTGGGCCTTRTGTTGCTGTCACATTTTGATGAGATGTTCCTTTGTTTGGCAGGAGTGAAATGGGGAGGAGAATTCTGGATGCCGGAGGTGAGCATGAGACTTAATTTAGTATGGAGYTTCTTAAAAATTAGATGTAAACCCATTAAAAAAAACAGAGAAGTTAATCTGAAGTTGCAGAATGTTGTGATTGGTATTATCTGAAAAATATCAATACTGCATGAAAATAGTCTGCAAGCTGGAATGTTTYGGTGTGTACAGTGTATGGGAAACTCGTTGAAGTTTGCAGTTCTCTAGAGCAAATGTTTTAAAATAGGAAAAGTGCTAAGGAAGTCACTCTGAGGCTGTGAGCTGTGACCATGGGTACTATACTATAGCTACTATAACTCCTGTCAGGGCTCACTTTGGTATCCAGGAATTTCACAGCTCAGAGAGGTGAAAGTTGAAAACTTCTCTTTTGTTTAAACACCTAGTGTGGCTCTGACAGGCCTTGAAAGTTTGGAAGGAGTTCATTTTGAAAAATAAGTTGTTTAGTCATTATTCCTTTACTTCTTTTTCTGATTATCCTTTACACATTACATATTTGGATCTAATGGGATCTAGAATATGTTCAGCACTGCTTATATGAGTTTCCTGATAATATTTTTTCACCTCAGTAGTTATTTAAATCTCCTCTTGCTGTGAATTGTGTTGTGCTGCAGACTATGACATCCAAGTGGCCATTGCAGAAGCTTTGTGCAGAATGGTGTCAGAGAAGCAAAGGCAAGAACTGGCCCCACAGTGGTTTCCCATGGAGTTTGTGTCCAATGCATTTAAAGGAATTAAAGATTCAGAGTTTGAGACAGTAAGTCACACAAAGAATATTTCCGGGGAGGGAAACTTCCCTTTTACAATTCTTTAAGAAATGTCTGTGTTTTAATAGGATTGCAGAAAATTTCTTAACCAGGTGAATGGCATGCTTGGAGACAAAAGAAGGTAAAATCGATTTTTTTTTAATGTATTATCTTTTTTTAGATTTTATATTGTGATTAAATTTCATGTTACCTCCTTGGGGTAAAAAAATTACTTTGATTACTGGGATCTCCAAGCCTCTATAGTTTGTGAAAACACAGTTCATTTGCTGTGTGCAGATACGCAACATTTATTTACAGTGTTATAGAATACTTGAAAAAATGTCTTTTTCTTACAGGGTTTTTACATATCCGTGTTTATCRGCTGTACTTGATAAATATGAGGTAAGTTTCTCTGCCTTCTAGTTAAGAAAGTATAGAGATGAATAAAAAAATTACTTTTTTCCTGAAGTATACAGATAGGCATGTACTGAAGGTTCGTCAGACTAGCCTATAGCTTCCTAGCTAATAGAAATCAGTTCACTCTCCTCTTACTCTTATATTATTCTTTTTGTTTTAGCTCCAGATACCATCGGATGAAAACCTGGAAGAGTTTTGGGTTGATTTCAATCTTGGCAGCAGAAGGATTTCTTTCTATGTGGCAGCAGATGATGCAGTAAGCTGAGTTTTGTCTCCTGCTGGGTTGTCCTGAGGCAGCAGATACACATTCTTTGGAGTGTGTCAGATTTTATTGCCCCATGTTCAACAGAGTGAACTTATGTGTGCATTCCAGTGTGGATGGGGATAAAACAAATCCAGATTTGGTGATAYTTAAATAATTTCACAGTAATTACTTTCTAATGCTCTTTGGAAATAGTTTAACATGTGCATAGTGAGCAAGAGTGAAACACAAGTTCCTGTCACTCCTTGTAACAGAAGGTTAAAAAGCTGGAAATTTCTTCTTGCTGAGTGACTTGGATCATGGATTTCATTTCATTGTAATATAATACTTTCTATCTTTCAAAATGTGTTTTTCATTTAAGGATCCTCGGTGGGAAACAGTCATTATACCAGAAGAAGATGTGAACATGTACAGCCTAGAAGGTATTTGCACTCAAAAATGGGACCTTTTGTTAGACACTGACTTGGATTTTCAAACTGAGTAACTTAAAGTACTGACTTAATTCTAGCAAAGTAAAAGTCTCATTTAAAATGTTACAGGAACYGTTTTTATTTTGGATGAATTTGCACTGCAGTCACACCTGCACTTTGGGGATGAAGGTGTGATTTTRTGAAAATAATTTAATAATCATGTCTTAGAGTTATTTCAATACAAAAGAAGGCATAAGACAATGACAGGTAATAATATTTCTTTTGAACTAGTTAGAACAGTAAATATCTAATTTGTTTGCAACTACAGTGAACAAACTTCAAAGAAAATTCTGTGGAATAATATACAGAATAAGTATTTCTAAGAGATTAAATCTTGACTTGTTCCACTAATAAAGTTATTGTTGGTTAGAGTGAATTAAATAAAAGATTAATTTAGTACCTGAACTAAATATACCGTGTTTACAAACATTCTATGAGATGCTCTTAAATTAAAATGAAGCTGCTTTTCMAATTTTGTTTTTGTCCAGAAAAAGATTCAAAGAAATTATTAACAATTGATCTAAAAAGCCCAATGAATGTGGGCGCTCTTGAAGGAGAGAAATTTCTTTTATATTTTGATTCCATCTTGGAAATCAAAGATGTGACCAGAAAGATTTATGGAATTCATAAATGTAAGGTAAGATTTAAACACCTTTTTGAATAGTTTTTAATTGATTCAAAATAAATGTTTTATTGCCATATAAATGTCCGAACTGTGATTATGCCAAGAGTTTCTGATTACCATCAGTTCTACAGAACTGCATCATATATTAAGCTTTGATAAAGATGCTTAGTAAGGACAAGAGGAAATGGCCTCAAGTTGTACCAAGGGAGGTTTTGGTTGCATTTTAGGAAAATCTTTTCACTGGAAGGGTTGTCAAGCCCTGGCACAGGCTGCCAGAGCAGTGGTTGGGTCCCYGTCACTGGGGTTATTTCGAACTATTGGATGTGGCATTTGGGGACATGGGTTATTRGTGGGCTTGGCAGTGCTGGACTCAGTCACCTGAAATGATTCTCTCATTCTGAGATTGTAACAAACTCTTTGTCCTGAAGTCTGACTGACTGAGGAACTCATGAGGGACAGAACTGCTATGAGTTTGTAGAATCTGTCCTCCTCCGTAATCTGACTTCATACACTGCAATCTCTCACTGAAATATTTTGTTTCTTATTTAAAGAAAGAGCAGAGTCTATATTTTGGTATGTCCCTTTGCAGGATTTCAGCAAGAAGCAGTCTGCATCAGTAGCCAAAACAACTGTCCATGTTGTCTTTGATGAAAGTGGATCCCAGGTATTTYACCTCAGTGTGCTCAAATGGTTTTTGGGGTTTGTAAAATTAGTCTCGATTATTCACTAATTTATAATCATTCACAGTAAAAACATGGACTTTTAAAATATCAATAAGTATAGATAAGTCTAAAGCCAAGCAAGTGGTGTCTAGTATGTCTGTATTGTATTTTGGGGAGATACTAATACTCAAATAATAGAATAAATCAGAGTAATATGCACACGGGAAGTTCTTTTATGGGCATTGTTACTTGAAAACCCATCCTTTTACCAGAAATTGCAATTAAGTTGGAAGCTTTTCAAACTAAAAATCTGTAATTTCTGAAGTTTATTAGAATCTCCARTGAGGGATGCGTTAACTAAAGTAGTTGTGTTTGTATCAATATAAAAATAAAACATAATAAAATCCAAATATTGCATACAAATTTTTAAATATTAAAATATTCTATAGGTTCTGGTACCAGAAAGTCAGCTTTCATCAGGTTTGAAAGAAAAATCTGGAGAAGAGGAGGAGAAGCTYAGTAAGTACAAAACTCAGCAACTTCCTGGAAGTTTGAAGACTCAGAGTAAAAATAACAGTCAAGAAAAGCACAAAGATGACTCCTCCAAGGTAAGTAGGATTGTCAAAWAGGAGTAGAGAAAATACAGAAGTCAGTTTAAATGTTCGTAATATTTTACATTCTAAACTCATTTTACAGTTGGAACATAGTTAAGACTGTAATAAGGGTTTGATTGCTTTTCGCATGACTTGGCACTAAGCTATAAATATGCTTTTGCTAAAAGATTTGTTAATATTTTGAAGCTACAATAATGTGACAAAAATAAAATTGAATAGTTACTGTTCTTTAGACCATTATKCTCTGAGAAGTCTCTTTAAAGAGAAGTTTTTGAAGACATGCTCAGATGTCCCAGTATGGGAAAATCAAATAGGGCCTCAGAGACTGCTGGGGAGGGGGCAGAAAATGGAACAGTCACTGTGTCTTTATTGTGCAGCAGTGGGTTAACTCTTAGAATAGTTAATAAACCTATTTTTGCATAGCTTGTAGCTTAAGTGACAGGTTTGAAGAATCTCCAGGGAGTCTTTGTCAACAAGGGACAGGATTTGCCCATACTTCATTGATTTAATTTACAAAACAAAAAACACTGTTTTCCATTTAGAAATACTTTAAGTATAACTGCATAAAAATCATATTACYTTGATATCTGCAACAGCAGCAATTGACATTCAATAATGGACAGGGCCAAGAGACTCTTGGCAATAGATTTTCTGAATTCTTGTGCTATCATCTTTAAATCAGTGTATTATGGTCAARTTCTTTCTGTTCCTCAAGATAACTTCATCCCACAAAAGGAAAATGTCTGAAGCATCTGTGCATATTCCTGGAGCTACAAGAGTTTCCACAAGGAGTCCACTAGATTTTGTTAACACATGTAAGTTTGCARGTACTTTCAGGATAAAAGTACATTATGACTCTTGGAAACTCCAGCACGTACTGTGACCCTTGGCAGAGCAGGAAATGAAAAGGAGAAGTTATAAAATTTCCTGAGCAGATGCTTTAAATTTGAAATGTTTAAGGGCCGCTTGCTCCTGGTCCMTAGGCACAGTGTGGGACAGTGCATTCCCAGCAGCTGAGGGTCACCTATCACATTTCCTGCAGCTGTCAGGCAGCTCTTGGTRCTGGAGCAAGCTGAGAATTCAGCAAAAACACACAACAGTGAAATCTTTAAATGGCAAACAGGGGCAGCCTGTGAGAAGCTTTGCTTTTGCCTCCAGACATCTGTCTGTGGGCTCTCAATCTCCATGTAACATAGTTGGAATCAATACTAAAGTTCCATTAGGGGCTGGTATCAGAACTAACCAGCTTTTGTTGGAGTTTATGGACTAGCTGTGATCATGGGCAAAGCTCTTCTTGTTGTAATTGTAATGGGAGAACTRGTGGAATTCTGATTTGTCTCTGGTTTGTTTCAGCCACTCCTTTTAAAGGGAGAATTAAATTGCCTTTGGAAATGACCAGCTCTACTAAAAAGTCTGACAATGATGCAGTAAATGAGAGCAGAACTAAGAATCTCCATCAGGAACCTCCTGGAGTATGCATGTCCTTTGTAGCTAAGTCTTCTTAGAATAACGTTAATTTCTATTCTAACTTGTTCCTAATTCATAACTTAAARAGCTAGAGTTTCAGTCAGCAAGTTGCTTTTAGAAAATAGTATGTGTTAATTTATTGCATTGTGTTTCTTGCCCTCTGGATTTCAGGTTTAACATGTTTAAAATCAGACTGAACTTYAACAAAAGTAGCCAAAATTTGCATTCGCTCATCAATTCTGACCCCAGAAGTTCTTCCTTTTTGTGTAGGAGGAGAAAGGTGCATGCAAAGCATCTCAAATTGATTATGTACTCGTGAAATACTCATAAAACATAGAATACATTCAGCTATACTTGTGAAATGTTCATGTCTTCAGCTTATTTATAGCATTCATTTTAGAGCATTTTTGATCAGTCATTCACTACTATAAAAAAAACTACATAAGTGTCACTGACCTGCAGTTTAAGTATATTTTTGAGTACTTTTATTTCCAGTTGAACAATGACTATAAAATAACATTTTTATATTGTTTCTTGTTGTAAATGTCTGCCTTGCTCAGATTCARGTCAGGCCCCAGACTATGGGACTCTGAAGCATTTTTTGATACAACTGTGCCTTAGAAAAGGCTTTCATGTACAGAATGTCTTGTTTTGAGTATTTCTTTGGCTTTTRTGGGCTGTAAATGTCAGTGTTACTTACTGTGCTTTTTAGAGTGGGCTGAGATGCAGAGTAGATAATGAATTTTGTGAAACAGAACAGATCAGGAAATCAAATACCTGGAATGAGGCAAAGATTCATGAGAAGGTACTGAAACAGCACTTCCATGAAATGAGAAAAAGGCTGTCATGTTTTATTAGGGAAAGCACAMGTTTATGAGGTTAGACTGCTTATAGTCTACACTAATGTTTCCTTTTGGGTGTCATTCCACTGTAGCAAATGTGTTCTGAAGACATTTCAAAAGTTGTACAAGAGGCCACAGAAAAGCAAACTTTAGGCAAGTAATTTTACAAGTATTGATAATCCTTRCTTTTAAAATTATTTKAATTATTTTTCTATTTCTTTTGCTGTAATAAATGACACCAAATTAATTTCTCATTTAGATGAAATGTTAGATATTGTTCCTGATTCTCAGCCAGTTGGGAGAAACAGCAAACCTTTGTAAGTATTGGAAAAGAAATCCAAGTCACTGTTGTCACTCACTTGGAAGGGAGAATTTCAAGCATTACCAGAGTTGATATTTTGTTGCAATGTAAAATGCTTTGATATCTCCTAAGATACCATAATTTTCCTGTTTCATGATGCATGTTTACTATAACTAAGACTCAATTTCTGCAATTCTGACATAAGATGGTGTTGTCTTTGTTAGGCTGCCTGGTCTTTTGGAGAGTTCTTTTGACAAAGTTGAAACGTGGAAAAAAAGAACGTTCCCTCTTCTGGAGAAGAGTGTAACAAATGGGGACAAGCAAAAACCAAATTCATCACTKGCTCGTGCATCTCATCCAGGTAATGGTCACAATTGGTCACCTGTTACTCTTAAAAATAGATCAGATAGATTAACTTGCAGTGATTCTTTTTTATTCCCTTATTGCTTTCTATTGGTAGTGAAAGAGCTGTGAAACAAAAAGCATTTATCTGGAGAGGTACTTCAAAAAGCTGAACAAAGAAATTAATAAAAACAGAACCAAGTAAATTAAAGTGTTATCATCCTTAGCAGACAGTTGGAGTGTTGATCATTTGGAACAGAAACTGTTAAATACACAAGGGAAAAATATTGAAAATACTACTAAAATATGGTTTAAAAACATTTCTTTCAGCCAGAGTGACTGATACATCTTTGCRTTCTGATTTTGCACAAGAGGACCCTGATGTTCTCCTCAGAAAAGAGAMTGCAAATCTGAAACAATCAAAGACAGTGAGAGTTTCTTACCTTTGTTTCTTCCCCTTGCAGTTAAGAGAATTGTCAAATTTTCAGTGTCTCAGAATTTGTGGGTTTACTGTCCTGCAGGGGAAAATGGTTTTCAAATGAGTGTAATTTAATCCATGTAGAAGATATTTAATGAAGTTTAGGAGGTTCTTAGGAACCTGAAGTTCAGTTTGCAGCTTTGTTCTTCTGTTGGATGTTGAGTCTCAAACTGTTTTTATAGAAACCAAAGTCTAAAGAAATTGCAGATGCAGCCAAATCCCTGATCAGTAAAATCAGTGACAGATACAAAAACAAGAGTGACGAGAAAAGCAAAGCAAGAGATTCCCTGGGCTTTAACAGGTATGATGTGAACTATTTCCTGTTGTGCTGAGTCTTTGTGTGCCTCTGGGTTTGACTGTGATGTACCAATGAATGCTGATAAGTGAAAGGGGCTGACCTCTGTGAACCCTTTTAATCTTTTAATTGATGTTGTATTTAAAGGCATGAATAAGTTTTCTGGGTTTGATAAGCTTTATATTTATATAGGCAGCATTCTAATGCATATATTCTAATTAGCATTTAACAAAATTMATCTTTATTTTTAGGACACATTTAAATAAATCCTGGATCTCTAAGGTAACATATTAGTGCTTCTATTAGAATTGTTTTTCCTATCAGCTCTATGTATATATATGGTGGTGGTCAGGAGGTGTAAAGGAAAAGTTCATAAATATCATTAAGCATTAAGCATGTTGTCATTATCATTAAGCACATTAAGCATTTGTAGATGTTAACATTAATTATGCATTGACTGAATATATTTTGCCATATTGAACTGTTGCTAATCAACCTGATTATCTTCCTGATGAAGATTTTGCTTTTTGAGATGACAGTGTCTTTGAATGCTCAGTCCCAATTTGACAGAAGAGCTAATTTTTCATTTATGGATAGGAAGAAGTTCAGGACAGGACCCTAAAAACCACTTCTTTCCTTAAYATAACTGCTGGTCGTGTTCTGTAAGTAGCTGCAACATTTTCAAATGCAATTTATGTTAACCACACCTGACACTTGATTCACTCACAAACTTGATCTCTGTGTCTGTTTGACAGGGATGATGTCTACAACTTTAATATCAGTGGGTTTGATGAGCCTACAATCAAGCTTGGGGTAAGAATATAACTGAAACTTWTGTGTTATGAATAGAATATAAAGGAATTCAGTCACATTGCATCTACTGAAAATACAATTTAGAGCTGAAAAATCRAATTTTATCAGTGAACTAAGTAGGGGGAAAAGATTGCTATGTAAATACCTCCAGCWCTCTCAAATATGTAACAATATACGCTTCTTAAGATTCTGGGCACTTCAGACTATTATGATGTTTTTCCTGAATCAAGAACTAAACTGTGTGTTAGGAGTGTCATTATTTCAAATTATCCTGAAAACGCTATTGCCATCCTTCTAATCCCCATTTTAAAGGCATCTTTGGCCAGATGCTTGAGCAAAAAGAAAATCTAATGGTGGTAAAAGATTTTCTTCCTATGGCACAGGAGGAGCCTGGTGAATTGGGGAAGGTGGTGAAGCAGGTGGGTGGGAATTCTTGGATTGCTTTGATACTGAAAGMTTCAGTCAGCTGCTGTTGGTTTTAACTGTCAGCTCTGTTAAATAAATTTAAGATAATTTAAATCATTAATTGCTGAGTGCAATAACTGAAGAAAAAAAACCCTTAACAGTTACTGTCTGGTGGCCCGTTTAATTTTGGTAGGATTCTGTGGAAACAAATTGAGACCTTAATGTATTTCTTCTCTATTTGCATTTTTAGATCCAAGAATTGCGTGTGACTGAACTGAGTGTCCATACAGAGACAAACAAAAAAGGGTAAGATGTTCTGTCGTGTCCTTGGCTGCTGATTACCATAGTACAGCCTGCACTCTGCAGCATGCAGTTAGAAAATTCCAGGGAGTGTTGCATGACAAGAATATCTTGACTGCATTGGTTTTTTTCAAGCAATAAACATTGCTGTATTCTCCTAGGCTGTTCCATGATTTTCCTTTGGGAAGGTGATWAAAAGGAAAGAATGTGTTCCATGAAGGAAACAGTTCTCCTCATGGAATACTACAGGGAGAGAAAATAAAGAATAGAGGGGGATGATTTTTGGTTAATGATCCTCCTGGAAAGGGCTGTGTTGTTCCTGTGTGCTCTTACTGATAATTGGGAAATGAGCACAAACCTTTAGGGTTTAAGGTGAAAAGATAATTCCAAAATCATGTAGAAACAAAAGTAGGTACATTTATTTGAATCCTTAATCCACATATCATGAGAATAGWAGAAAGGTTTRCAACAACTGTTTTTAAATGTRGTGTTTAAAAGTGGTTTTRTTTTTTTACTCAAGGAACACAAACKTCGGTAAATCCARCACAGAAGTGAAAGAAGGAAAAAAGGTAAGGCTCAGGTTTTYATGKATCAGCATAGCTTRTCTTCCTGCCTTTAAACACTAATTRTGTAAGCAGACTACATGTAAAAATAAACCAATAACTTAAGAACTTTTTTGGGTTTTGTAGATTAGAAACAATCGAGACAAGAAGCATCTCTTTAGTGACTCAGACACAGAAAACAGAGGGGATGACAGCAAGACAGAGATTAGTTGGCTACAGGAATCCAAGAGGAAACCTAAAGCCCAGATAATTGATTACAGTAGAAATAAAAAATTAGGGAAAGCAATAATCACAGACAAAAGTAAGAAACCTTTTCTCATGTTTTTAAAGAATGCTGCAGTAAGTTTGTCCTTAGATACTAAGTCACAGCATGGCACGTCCTGTGTTGCAGATACCATTTGTTTTTGTTTTCAAGTATGACGAATTTTCTAATTAGTTCTAATAATTTATCAAGTGCAATTTACATAAATGCTGTATTTTAATGTGGAAAACTATTGGAGGATGGGGCGGGTGGAAATCGTTGTGAATAAAAAGAAGTTTTTTAAATAATGGGCTGAAACAATCAATTTATGGGCATGAAAGTGATTATATTATTCTACAGCTAAAACTAATGTCAAACATTTGAATGTTTTCCTGATTTTTCAAACCTCTTGTATTGCAACAGCAGATAAATTGTCTGAACCTGATTGCTACATGGATAAACCTAAAGGCAAAAATGCAAGGAAGAAAAAGGTAAGTGTGAATTTGTCACTAGAATTTTAATACAGGTTCAAAATCTCTCAGCTCCCCCAAGAAACTGTTTCGATATAACTTTTCGTAAATGTATGACATTTCTCCCAGATCATTTGTTAAATACAGTTTTTTCAAGTATTATATTCTTTTCTTGTAGCATTTACATGGGTTTTCAGGCATAATCTTACCTGAGTTAGAAATAATATTGTACATTGATGCTGTTGGTAGACTTATGGTTGGACTCTGAGTTTTGGTGAAATTAAACCTTTTTAGTTGTTTTGAAATATGCATTTCAAGTAATTAAAMCAAGTTACCTGCCATTTTTCCTTAYATATTTATTAATCATTCCCATAAACTGAAGACAGTTTTATTCTTCCAAAGATAAACAAATGTAAACCACAGAACTTAAAACCGGATGAAATGATAGTAAAATCCACCAGAAAAAAACTGCCTCGAAGAGCAGCAGCAACAAAAAATTACAAAGAACCTTCCAGTTCTGAGTCAGAGAGCGAAGAAGAAATTCCAACATGCACCTCTAAGGAGGAGAAATCCAAAAYACAGGTATGCAGTTCCACTTGATTATTAAAAATCCATTCCTGCCATGTTTTTCAAAGTAATCTGTGCTCTGCTTTGTGTTTGGTATTCCTGAATTTTAGGTGTCCAACGTTAGCAAAGTGAAGTTAATTTTATTATTTTTAGTATTCCACTTTTTTTAATGATAAGTATTGAGCTGCCAAGAAATCAGCCCTAAATAACCTTCTTAGTCATAATAGATTTTTAGTTTCTCTGCATGAGATTTATTCTGCTGCAAAGAACAACTGTGTACTGTATTTTGAAAATTGGAMAATATTTTGAAAATGTCTGTTAAATCAGAGGGTTCAGTGAGCCAAATCTTGTTGAGTTGATGTGATGCTGGTACTGCTGGGCCTGTTCTGTGAACAGCAAATGCTGACTTGAGAGAGGCTGTGTCAATACATTTGCTGAATATCCAGATAGGATTTTTAGTAAATGAACATTGGTTGCTAAAACATTTTCATTGTTTTAGCATAACATGTCAATATATATGAAAGGTTTATATATTTCATTCATTAAATCCTGRAGCATCAGTAATTACCTCCAGTATTTAAGTAGTTCATAAGAATAGAAATTTCTGTGTCAAATTAAAGAAATTCAATGTTTGTTGGTATTAGAAAACCTGATCTGCTTATGGATTTAAGTTTTCTAATGATGATCCTCCTGCTGGATCAATGGTATGTGGATAATATATCTATACATCTCTTTATCAGCTTTTATGTACACTGTGGTTACAAAGATGTTTATATATAACTCTTGTGTATTAATAGAAACATAAGAATGGGGCAAGCAAGGATTATAAGCAGCCCAAGGTACTGCCGATTGTATCTCTGGAGCCAAAGGGGATAACTGGAGCCAAGAGAGAGGATAACTACGTGCAGAAAGCACTGATCAGATCCAGGAATTCTGCAGAACAGAAGGAAGTGGAAATGCCTTCATTTGAGAGCCCTGCCTCCCTTGAGAAAATGAGATGTAGGTATTTTCACTTTTAATTTCTAACTGTACTGAAACAAAAGGTGGAGGTTAAATGAGGTTATCACAGCAGTACAAATTTACATTTATTACATCCTCCTAAAACAAGAGATAYCCCATAATTCTGGGTGCTCCATGTAATTTAAGGAAGTGTATGTGTATGTCACATGTGTAAAATAGAAACACATGATGTCAGTGTTAGAACAGATCTGGTACTGCTGAAATGGTGGGAGAGTGAGAAAAGGGAAGGGTGGTAAGTCCTGTGCCAAACTGCACACATCTGAGACTTGGAAATGCTTGGGCTGGAACAGGGAGCAGAGTGTGGGGCTTTGGCTTCCTTTCTGTGACATCCATTCCTTGTGCTGACACTGAAGGAACTTTTTTCCAGGTGCTGACAGAGTATCAGATGTTAGTCTGGAGCACAGTTCCAGTGAAAGGTCTCTTGGTCTTCAGCAGTCAACACCAGAAAACAGGGAAATGTTAAATTCTGAGAAAGGACTCTCTCCTAATAATTTCTCTCCACAAAATAAGAGTATGGAGAGTCTAGGTTTAACTCAGACCCCTGAGACAACAGTTACAAAGTTGACATTTGGAAGGAAAAGTTTCTCACCAGTTTTAACTGAAGCATCTTTGGTAAGGGCATTAACATTTCTCTAGAGTTGTTTTAACTGAAATTGTTCCATTCAGCTACCAAGAGTTTTGTGCTTCTGTCCATCTCCTTTCAATGATGTTTGGGGGTTTTTGTTCTTCTGCAGCTCAGCTTAACCACATTTAAAACTGTCAGTGGCAAAACCTCCAAGGGAGCTCTATCAGAAACCTGTGATAATAATGAAGATTCAAGTYTCCAGCATTGCTTTTCAGACACATTTTCTGCTAAAGGCAAACTGCAGGATACCACGAAATCTGTCCCCAAAAATAAGGAGGAGGTATGTTCCTAAATTCTGTGCTCTTCAGAAGAGATCCACAGCTCTTTGTTTTATCAATTTACAGGTGGTGAGGTTTAAGGCCTATCTTCTTCCATTAATTATTGTTTTCTTAATGTGTAGCTCAGCTTAACAATGTACAAAAGTGACAGTGGAAAACGTGCAAAGGGAGCTGTGCTGGAAGCAGGGAATAACAACGAAGATTCAAGTCTCCAGTCTTGCTTTTCAGACACACTTTCTGCTAAAGGCAAACTCCAGGATYCCACCAAACCTCTCACGAAAAGTAAAGAGGTGAGTTTGTGCATTCCTTGCTCTCCAGAGGAGAGCAGCAGCTTGGCACATGTTTTATCTACTTTACAGGTGGTGAGGTATAAGGGGAACACATCTCCATATTAAACACAAATCTTCTTGGGACCTGCTTATAGTTAATTTTTAAATATTGGAGGTAAATTAGATAATTACTTATCATATGGATACAATGAAAGCATTGTATGTTAACCAGATCAGTTACAATTCATATTTTAAAAAATAACAGGGAGTAAATACTTTCTTAGTGACTTTCAATTAAAAAATTAATGATTTTTCACAACATAAATGTGAATTTCTGATGGAGACTTCTAAAAGCAGTTTAATTTTGAAGCTAATAAATAAATCAGTGACTTTTCTTTTAGGATTGTGTACCACCATCTCCAGTGTCTGTTTCCAGCAGGAGGAGAGTGCAGTCTTGGATTAAAGAACCTTATGATCCCATGAATGAGTCAGGTACAAACATTCAATTTAAAGCAAAATTTCGTGTCTCCATAAGAGTTAAGAAAAATGTTTTTATTTGGCATAATAATATGGCCAAAGTTTTAAAATCTTGTTATATTTTACRTATTTTCAGTATTATTCCATTTTCACTCTTCATTTTCTCTGCTGTTTTAATTATCCCCTCCAAAAAAGAAAATTAGGCTCCAAAATTCAGCTTTACTAAAGAATTAGTTGTGCTCCAGATAAAAGGTTAGAGGCATTCCCATTGATACTGGGAAAYAAATGGGGATAATGGTATTATCAGGAAAAAAACCAGACTTGCTCATTAATCAGAATTCAGTTGAAAGTGTCCTTTATAAATGTAATCATTACTAATTTTTATATAATTTTCATATTTTAAAMCCAAGACACATCTTCCTAGAGTTTGCATCTAATGAGTCAATAAAATCATCTTTATCCTCCCATCTCATTGTTCTAAATAATCCTAAAATTCAGCCTTGTTTCTATGTTTATTGAAGGACCAAGTGTACAGACATTCTGCAAACGAACTTATCGCAGTGACACAGAAAGCAGCTCTGATGAGGCAGAAACAAGCAAAGAGGAGGAAAAGAAAGGGAGGAGAAGAATAAGTTTACAGCCCAGAAAATTATTTAAAACAGATGATGCTGCTACTTTCAGAGGTTGGTCATGGACTGACAGTCCAAAGTTTGGAAATAACGTGACAAATTCAAGCTTTAACAAGGAAATATAATATCTCTGAAAGACATTATACATGTTAGAGCAAAGAAATAAAAAATGCTAAATATTTAGAGACTGGATCCATGTAAAAAGTCAGAAAATAGATGTGAAAACAAACTGGTTTCAGCCATCTAACTGGTGATATTAACTTAGATATAACAAAAGCTCTACTAAGCCCTGTGCTAACTTCAGATAGGGGATTTTATAACACTGCATTTGACATTATGTTTTTGTTCTTCCTTCAGTGTCTGAAAGTGTCTCCACTCGATCTGTAAATGACCTGTCTGGTTTGGATGGAGGATTCTGGGAGCCTGGTTGTTCAACCATCAGCATTTGTCAGAAGCTGCAGAAAGAATTTACCAAGAAAATTGAGGTAAGACCCTTCACATCCAGTATCACTTGGGGGGTACATGAGCACACAGAGCACAGCTTGGCTTACACCACACTAGATTTTAAAAAAGGGGTTTGCTCTGATATTCAGCAGTTACAGTACTGAGCATATTACAGGATTTTTCCTAAAGTGCTATCTGGATTAAGCTGAATTAATCTAAATTAATCTGAATTTCATGTTRAAACATCCTCCTAGAACCGCTCCCGGAAAATGGATACTTTTCACAAGCAAACATTGAGAGCTGTCCATCAGCATTGGTCAACAATGAGTTACCAACTCCATGAATGCAGGTCAGTAATGGAAGATTCCTTTGAAAACATCCTTAAAATGCAGTGAATACCTTCTACAAGGAGCCTGTTTTGTTTTGGTAGGATCAGACAGCTGGAGAAATTCCATTTTACTCTCACTGAGGAACTTGAGAACTTTGAAAAGGATTCTCAGTCCCTGAAAATCATGGAAAAAGAATTCTTGGTTTGTATTTGAATTGCTTGATCATGGGGCAAAGGGAATTCTTGTGGAATCTGTATATTATTCACAACATCTTTAACTTCGTTCAGCACTTGATTTTCACAGCCCTTTTTGCTTCAAGTTGCTTCAAGATTTCAAGTAATGCATTTGARGTGTTAGGATGCTCTCAGAATTCCAAGGTCACTCTRGGTTTTCCTACCTGCATTCACTATGAATTCCTTTATGTTTCTCCTACAATGAGCTCCTACAAAAATCYTTTAATGGGCTGGGTCTTCCCAGCTTGTGTGGGGCTGTAACTCCTGTCCCTTGTGTTGAGTCTGTGGTTGTGGTTATTTTGTTTATATTAAATATAAATTACTTTGAGTTTGGAAAATCAGTTCCTATTGATTAGCATCTCTTAATATTTTTCKTTCCAGGCCTTTTGGAAAAAACATTCCCAGACTTTTAGTACGTACATGAAAAATGAGCAGCAGAGGTCAGTAGGGTTCATTAATCCTGGGATGAGATTTGTGTTCTGTTCAGTTGAGGGACAAGTCAGCACAACTGCTCTTCTCTTCAGTTTCTTCCATGGAAGAGAGATGGTTGATGAGATGAGAAAATGAGATTAAGAAGTTAATCAAATTATTCTCAGCTAAATTTCTGCTTGTACYTGAGGGAATGTTCCAGCAGTAACAATGATGGGGGTATTTACCCATGCTTTAAATGCAAATAGACTACAAACAATGGGATGTATTTGTGCTCTGTGTAGGAAGTTCTTATGTAACAAAGCTGTTGGAACTGCCTTTATTTCCTTAGAGTTCAGATTCTTAAAACTTCATTTGAAAAGAATATCTACCATTCTGTTGACCATGAAGAAAATGTTTTTAATTCACAGGTAKGGTGTTTGTTTTCCTCCTTTCAATAATTCTTCAAGTACACCAACAGATAACAGTATTGACTTTTTTAATGAAGATTTTATCCTCAGCATTAGATTAATAATACTCAATATTTTTGTAGCTTTTAATTGCCTTAACATGTCCCTTAATTTGACATTATTCAGTGTTTTTGCCTACATTTCATCCATTGTAAGGTRTATGCAGTTATCAAGATTTATTCTGGATTCTGTGGCTTTGTTTACTGGTGTTASTCATCCAAGAAAGAACAAATTTAAAACCTTATTTTCCATATGCAGGTGGCTGCATGTGCATCTGTATTTCTGGGTTATAACACATTTAGGGATGTCATTGTTTGCATGAAAATGTGTTGGCAGTTGTGAGCARAGGAGATGCATTCAGTATCTTTTTGTAGATGCATCTGATGAAGGAAGACATAAAAGGACTCCAAGAGAAATTTCTAAAAGAAATGGTAAGTAAAGTTATCTTGTYCTCATTTTTATTTATTTTTTGCTGTTTGAACACTAAATTACTAAAATGTTAATTTCTAGTCTATTCTAGTCCTATTGAAAATAAAAATGCAAGTGGCACTGATATGTCACACTTTAAGCCTGACCTGGGTGATGGGAGCCACAGGCAGATTGTGAATAGATTAATTTAGTTCTGAGCTTTGATATGTGGAATGTTCATGGGGAAAAGAAAATTAYCACATTTGRTGTGTTAAAAGCAGCATGTACAATKCACCAGGATTACAATAYATTAAATAMAATCTRCCTTTTTTCAAAGGCATGTGATTAATTTGATAAGCAGTGATAAAAGTGATCAATGTCATGTTTTCTCACAGCAAGAAGAGGAGCTGTGTAATGTTCGCAGGGGATTGCAGACCTTGTTTCAATCAAAGGCAGAATTTTGAAGTGATCTTTCAGATTCCTTCCTGGAATTCAAGGTAAATATAAACACTCTTTTGTCATGGAAAATTTGACTTTTTTTCCTTCACAGTCAAAGAAACTACTGTAACGAAAGCRTGTTTTCATTAAAATATTTGCGGATAAGACTTTTCCACTCACCTGTGAGATTTGGAATTACTTTACTGAGTCTGCTAAAATGTAATTTTATTTTAGCACATGCTACTTTTAASTAAGTAACAATTTTTATAGGTTACTTAACTGACATTCAGAGTTATCTCTTTGAATTTCACTTTGAATCTATGTTTTGGGTTGGATCCCGAATACAGTCAAGAATTATTTAGGGACCAAATCACCTGGTTTGATCTCCMTCCTGTTCATCTGTGGTGTTAGGCTTCAGTAGGACTTTCTGAGAGAAAACATTTTCAACACTTGTGTTAGAACTGTGTGGAAAATAGTTGTATTAAACAAGAAAAATAGGTAGTCTGTTGGGTTTTTTACACAATGCCATTGGTATTTTGTTTTAAATCACTCAGAAGTCAGCTAAAGCTGCTGTGCAAATATTTTTGGGTAAGAATTTTCAAAACAAGGCTGTGTTGTCTCTGGAAATGATTATATTGAAATTTCCAGTAAATCATTTGGTCCACTCATCCCATTTACGTAAATGCACAAATGTTTTCTGAGCCTCTGTTTTTTATGTGGTTTGGTGGTTTTTTTGAGCCTGTGCTCACTGTGGTCTCCACTAGATGGACCCCATGAGATGCCAAACTTTTCTTTCTGCTGGTCTGACTGACTTTAATCTGAATGAAACAGGACTTTTCTTGTAACTTAAAAGGTTTTTTAAAGTGCACTGCCAGACTCAAATTATTTTCTTACAATGAGGCCATGCTGGAAAAATAATCCAAGTGCCTTGTTTTAGTCTGTGGTAGGAACTGTGCACTGCAGGCCTGTTTCTCTTTTCCAKTGGGAGGAAACTGCCCAAGAGCAGCCTCCCTGAGCCCTCTGAGGTRCAGTCCTGAGTTCCAGCAGGATTGGAGCACAATCCATGGCCCAGGGAGTGTCCAAACACTCCCCCAGCAGCAGGCAGGCAGTGCTCAGTGCCAGGGATCAGTGGCTCTGGAACTGTCACCAGTTTTGTCCCCCCAGGAGCAGAGCAGAGGCCGGGCTGGCTGTGATGGAAGGAGCGGAGAGAGCGGAAGGATGGAGACACTCAGAGCTACACCAGGGTTAAGGTGCACCAGTGCCACTGCTCAGGGGCATTGTTTGACATCTAAAAAGCTGCTCAAAGTTACCCTTAAAATATTTTTATTTTTATGATACTTTTTAACATAATTTTAATGTGTTTTATATACTTACTATCAGTGGAAGTGTGCATCATTGTTAAATAGGAGTGTTWCTTTGCATGGATTATTAGCCACGTTTAATTTGTAGTTAACAGTGGGTCATCTGCTCTGCTCAAACTGAAAATGCTGCTTCTGCTGAAGAAATGTTGCTCTCCTTGCTGTTTAGCCTTTTTGTATAGTGCATCTGGACTATCATACTGTTAAGAAATAACACTACATTATTAAGAAAATTAAAATGATAAATAGATGTATGTTAAAAGGCTAGTTATGATGTTATATATTTCTGTGAAAAGCCAGCAAGTTAAAAAATTACAATAAAGAGGAAAAAATACATATTTGGATCAAGTGATGGGGTCATTCAAATCTTCAGCTGATGGTCAAGTAAGACAAACATTAAAATGTTGACACCACCTCTCCCAGGAATCTTTAATTCCTTCTCCCATTGCACTTACACAGGCTTTAAKTGTTGCACTGCATTCCTACCTGACAGTTTGTCCAGGAGCAGCTGCAGTTCCTGTGATTCCATCCCCACCTGGGCACAGAACTCACACTGTCTGTGGGGACTGTTCCCCCCTCACAGCAAGTCAGTAGTAGTCTATACAAACACTTTGACAGACTGCATTTTATTATTTTCACACTTCATGGAGATCATCTCAATGAAGCTACAAGACCAAGAATGCCTTTTTCAAGTTTTTAACATGGAATGACTCCCTAGAACGGTAGCACTTCAGAGTCTTGCAGGCCAATGTTTGCMTTGTGAGTGTATTCACCATTTTGTTCTGTCTCATCAGGTGTGCTTTCCAGCTATCAGTGTATTATTTTTCTCACAAGTGTTTTTTTTTCTCTTAGTAGTAGTATTAAGTAAATCCTCAGATGCTTCTCCATGTTAGGCATTATTAAAATGTCTGCCTTTACTTTTTCCTCAACCAGTTGTAGTTACTTTGTTATTACCATTTAGTAACTTTTTTCTTCTTACTGTCAAGAAACCATTAAAACCATTTGTTTGCCAAACATCAAAGTACATTGTTACATTTCTGTCTCTGGTTGTCCAATTTAGTAATATTGAAGAACAGTGAACCAAACTGTCATTCTTTAGAGGCTCAGARCCTCAACTGGTGCAGAATGACAACCAGGTTATGCTGTTCCACAAGATGGAAAACTTTAACTGGTATCATCCTTTTGCAGACTCTGTGCTGATGAAGAACTAAAATGGTTTGGTGCATAATAAGTAAAATCTCTTCCCTTCCCAACTGTCCCTGGGAAAAAAAAGAGCTTTAGGAAACATGTTCATTTCCTGCAATAAGTAGTCATTTAATTAAAGAACAAAAGTAACAGGAATCAAAAATGCTTGCAGCTGTGATTCTGTTAGACAGTATATAAAAAAGAATGAAATTATAATACATTAAATTAGTTTTTCGAACATGAACTTAGGTGTTTTACAAACTAATTGTGGTAAGTTCCAAATGCCTTGTCAACATAATACTGGATGACAGAGTGTCATGTCCTTTTATGTCAGAGGCCTTGGAATGGTAAAGCCTGTACATGCACAGCATCTCCTTTTCCAAGGTAGGCTGAAAACAGTTCCAAACGAGTGGCAAAGGAGAGGAGGAGGCTCTTTCAAGTAGCTTCACTTCAGTCTTTTTCAGCTTGTCCCACTCCACAGGCCAGCACTCTTCTGCCCCCAGAGCTCTGGGCTGCCTTGCTGTCCCCAAGTGCTGCAGAGGCTTCAGCTGCAGAGTCCTTCTGTCACATCAACATCCAGGGAGCCTGGACTGAACCTTAGGGAACGACTTCRGTATTCCCTGATGCGTGTTCAGCAGCAATATCAAAAAGTAAAGACAGATTCTTCTCAGAAGAAAATTCCTATGGCCTGTGAAATCTAGGAGAAAAGAGAGACATTTTTCAAACCACTTTGCARTAGAATTCAATTACTTTTTGGGTTTGATGTTAGATTAACAAAATTTTTTTAAAGCCCACAGAAGTACAGTAACAGTGTTGAAGAATAGCAGCTTTTAAATCTTAATTTTCCCCAGCACATTCCCACCCCTGTGCCATGGTTGCAGTGCAGGTACAATCCTCAGGGCCCCTCATTTACATTTCTTTGGGAATGCAATTGCAAACACAGGTATGTGTAGTTGATTTGCATTTATTTCCTTTTAGTAAATGTAGCCACAGTTTGTCATTGGTAGCAATAACCTTTATTGTGCAGTGATCTTGTTCTTTTTTGTAAGAGTTAGACAATGTTGAAATGCTTTGTAAAGTATGAGGAGGTACTGTCGGTGAGATGTTTGAATAAATATTTCCTGCTCTGTAGGTTTGTTCTTTTGGCTGAGATCCATAATTAAAGCCCCAATAATTTGTAATGCCTTAGCACTAATTGTAAATTGTAAGCCTGTTTACTCCTCATATCCTGAACAAATTTCAAAATCCCTCCTTGCCATTTACTCAAACTCCCCAGGTAGCTTTAATTAGGCAATGTATAGCTGCCTTCAGACTGAAACTGCAGYCATCCCTTTTCCCTCCCCATGTTTCATTCCATCCATGCACTGATGCTGGTTTGCCCTTAAGGCCTTTTTGCAGGTATCAGGGTCTCKGGAATCAGCCTCTCATCTTTTTTCTTCACTTAGGGGAGATGAATGTTTTTATGTGTGTTCAAACACAGTCCCTGTCACCAGTGCTGGCACTGCCCTGCCCAGGTTCACAGCAGCCCAGTCACGTGGAGAGTGACAACAGTGCAAAGCTTTTCTCTCTGCTGACCTCCTCCTGACATGGAATTAAATGTCATTAAGTTACCTGGGGGTTGCTCCTCCCAACAGCAACTGGGCTGCCAGGGAATACTGAAATCCCCAGGCTGAATCCTTTGAATAAATCCAATTACAACAAAGGTATTACCCCTGGGCACTGGGTGGGGCCTGTTACGGTAGGTACAATTTTCTATTTCTTACCAGGGAAGTTTCAGTGTTTGGGATAAGGTTCCAGACTCAAGTAGATTTAATTCAGAGATCGTTACAYAGTGTATTAAGTTGTTCTACTTTTAAAAAATCGTTTTCAAATAAAACTCCCTTTGCATATTCTTCTCCCACATCCAGCATGTAAAATCTACAGGTTCAGGACTCATGCAGAGTGTTTTTAGGAGGTAGTGRAAATAAACAGCTGGAAAACTGACCTTGTCAAATGTTTGCTCGATGCATGRACCTCCATTTCATTACTTTTGTATTCATTCAGCTCTTTCCGAATGGCTGCCTAGGAATTRAAAAAAGAAAAAMATGAACAAATAATTTTGTGTTCGTGAGCATTGCAAAATCCCAGACGTGCAGAGCAGAACACTTTCCAGGTATTGGGTATAGCAGAGCACTCTGTGCTGGTGGAAATGCTGACTATTTGGGTTGTATGGATTGGTGACATAATACTTCTCATTAGTTATTGATTGCTGACAGGGTCACTGCTGTCTAGAAGCAATTCTGACAGAATAACACCTCAGGGCTGGTTGTCTCACATTTGATAAGATTCCAGYTAAAATTCATTAAAGATTAAGAGAAGTTGCCAAGAAATTGATCCATTTTCCAGTCACAAATGCAGAGGTCCAGCTCTGACCCTGACTTCCTGGTGTGCCACCAGTRTGTGTGGTTGAACTGTCACTTTCTTTCTGCTTACAAACCTGCCTTGTTAATTGAAACAGTAACACTGAAACAGTAAACCCAGAAAAAGTCTAATTTTAATAACAGCKGAGTAGATACAAGGAAAATTCAAAATCATTATTCTATTGATTACTATGGAATAGCTTATTCACCATTTTAGTGAGCTTAGGAGAACAGCTACTGGAGTAGAAATGCTCTGTTCCTTTTCTGAGTCCTCTAAACCATTTGTCACTAACTGGGGGGACACTGGGATGGAAACCAAAGTGTCTGATCTCCACATCTCAGAACAAAGCCATATTCATGATCCTGTGTTTGCCATTTTGCCAGTAATTGTCTCAGCATTCTGCTCCYTCTGCTTCCTGCAGCCCTGAAACTTCCCAACTGTTGTGTCTGAAATCATGGTGAAWATTCCTACTACTCAAGCATCTAAATGTGACACTCAAATTGGGATGTAAAACTGCTATGTGGCAGGTTTGTGATGGGACAGAATCAGAGTTTTTGCTCAGGAGAATGTGGGTGCAGTGACTCCTTGAGCACTCACAGGAAACATGAGAGGAAATATCTGCATTTTTGGGGAAAACTTCCAGTCTGAGAATGAATGTTAATACTCTGTTGGCTGGAAATGGTTTTGAGCTGGAGATTGTATCCACCTTTTTGGGTGGGTGGGTAGAAGTCTTTAGGGTCCTAAATAAATATGTTTATAAATAGGCAATTTTTATGACAGATTGCTTTGGTCAGTATGATTTCAGCATAAAAAATAAAGATAACATGTACAGAGATGAAATGTTCCAGCGGTTAAATGTCGGTTTAGAATGTGATGCATCATTACAGACAAATCAAGGAGAAAGCAGAACTTGGTGATTGTGGTTCTGTCAGTACCTTGTCTGCTGCTGACAGTCGTGTCCATGGTTTGTCTGCTCTCCTGTCATAGTCCTGTGCTTTTGCCACTTCCACATAATCACTGAATCGAATCAGGATCTTTCTGTCTCTCAGTTCATCAACTGTAGGTCTCTGGTTAAGCTGTATTCAGAAGTTTTGTGAAATAAAACCAGGGTTAATATCAAACATATCAGTAAAAAAATGAAACATTTGCTGCTTTTCATCTTAGCTCAGTGTGCATTTCTGCTTTTGGAAAAGCACCCAACCCTTGGAAACTCCAGGGAAATATTTAATCATTTGGAGGACTGCTAGGAGAGTAATGATGGTTTAAATGGAGTTKTGGGCTATAGCACAATGCCTTTATAATGGACAAAAGAAGAAATTATTTGAACCCAGATACTGATAAAATACATTTTCAAAATGTAAAGGAATCATGGTGGATTTGTTATCATCTCTGTACGGTTCTGGGTGCTCTAGGATGTTCTCTCYAGGCAGAGGCAGATTGCCAGTGTGAGATTCTCAGCACTAGACCCCTGGAAGAATTTCAGTCTGGCTTTAACAARTTATGAGCATATTTTGTCTATAATTCCATTAGGGATTTCTAGGAACARAACAACAAGATCTAATTCAAATTCTGAGAATATTTTAAATGCAAAAAGAAATGTACTATGGGAGCAGACCTGGTGCTCAGCAGGGAGTCAGCTCTGCTACAAAAAATGAAAAAGTCCTTTTCTAGCAATGGAGCTAACAAATATGCAGKGTGCAAACAAATACCCATTTTCTGACTAAGTTTATATGTAAATATTTTACTAAATCTCGTGTAGCTGAGCTAAGGTAGGTATGYTTATAATTCATATTACCAGACAGTACTATCAGACACTGCTGAGGAAGATGGATATTGAGGAAGGTTCTATATAATAATGGCCTCTAAGGCTGGTTGATATTACAGTAATTTTGCTAAATTTCTAAAAGCTAATAACAAGTATTGCAAGATTTTACCTTTCTTGTCAGTCTCTGCTTGATTTCCCTTCTCTCTTCCTGTTCCGTTTGGTCATTTCGTTCTGCGGAGAATATAAAAAAAAAGATGACTTTCCTCATGAGGAAGTTTGGTGTTTTCGCAAGTTCCAGGCAATGACGGGCACAGAAAAATAAGCAGCTTGTAGTTGTGTGTTTTGGTAATTCAGTGCATCCCTGGGCTGTGCAGGAACACGGAGTTACCTCTGTGTGAGGACAATGTCCCGGAGCCAATGTCAGCTCTGCCTGCGCTCTGAACTGCACAAAGATTTAATAAAACAACAGCAGCCACACCAATGCTCCACTTGGATAAAYTTTAGAAGGAAAATCAAAACACTCCACCGTTGATTAATCATCCTTTTTTACTCCCATAGTGCTGGAGCCATTCATGCTGTTGGATGCTGAGGAGCCTGGCTGCAGCAGCTCCAGGGAGAGCCCGTGCTCTTCTCTTCTCTTCTCTCCTCGATCCCCTTCCTTCTCTCAGGCTGCATCACTCTCTGCTCCTGCCCCTGACCTGCACCTTGGCTCTCGCTGACATTAGACCCGGTCCTCCTGCCGGGGGTTCCTCTGCAGAGCTCGGCTCTCCCCT